AATATGCCATTTTTAGAATGAAGTGCGCTTGGCTGATCATTGTTCTTTGAGGTTGAAAACTTCACTTGCTTTAATTGTTGCGGACTGGCCAGGTTTCAATTATCCCCCCCCCCCCACGTATTTACATAAGACAGCATGCTGCTGCAGCACAGAACCACAACCCACAGAAAAATCTAAAGACCAAGTTTTTGCTGTGCAGAGTGTGTGGAGTGGGGAGAGACCTCCGTTTTTAAACTGTAGGGAATACAGATCCCCCTGAAATAAGTGCTGCCTTCCTCCTTCCAAGGCAGGGGTAGCCCAAGCACCATCTGGCAATCAATCCATGACTCTTTACACTCAGTGGCAGATCGTATGTACCCGAGGTTCTCTCTGCGTTCATCTGTAAAACAGATCATGAGGGTTAGTGCTGGATTGGGAGCCCCAAGAGTTAGCATAAGCTTAGGGCAGGGGGACAGAGTTGAAAATGCTTTTGAAACAAATGGGGTATGGGGAGGAGAGAACGGAGCGAGGGAACTGATGGCCCTCCAGATATTGCTGCTGAACCACAAACACCCAGCATCCCTGAGCATTGGCCATGCTGGCTGTGGCTGGAGTTGAGCTTCAGGCTGTCAAGTTAATTAGGTAAAGGTAAAGGGACCCCTGACCATTAGGTCCAGTCATGGCCGACTCTGGGGTTGGGGCGCTCATCTCACTTTATCGGCCGAGGGAGCCGGCATACAGCTTCCGGGTCATGTGGCCAGCATGACTAAGCAGCTTCTGGCGAACCAGAGCAGCACACGGAAACGCCGTTTACCTTCCCACTGGAGTGGTAAAAAGGTAAAGGTACCCCTGCCCGTACGGGCCAGTCATGTCCGACTCTAGGGTTGTGCGCTCATCTCACTTAAGAGGCCAGGGGCCAGCGCTGTCCGGAGACACTTCCGGGTCACGTGGCCAGCGTGACGAAGCTGCTCTGGCGAGCCAGCACCAGCGCAGCACACGGAAACGCCATTTACCTTCCCGCTTTTAAAGCGGTACCTATTTATCTACTTGCACTTAGGGGTGCTTTTGAACTGCTAGGTGGGCAGGAGCTGGGACTGAAAGACGGGAGCTCACCCCGCCGCGGGGATTCGAACCACCGACCTTCTGATCAGCAAGTCCTAGGCTCCGTGGTTTAACCCACAGTGCCACCCGCGTCCCTTCTGTCAAGTTAATTACCGGTAATTAATTCATATTGTTATTGTATGGATTTGTTTCCTGTATCTATTGACATTATTATTCTTTTCAATTGTTCTTAATTTGTTTTTTGGATTTATTATTTTTTTGTTATCATGCATGTTGTGAGCTACTCTAAGCACCATTGTGGATAAGTGACAGGCAGTCAATGATGATAAACACCTGGAGGGACATAGGTTCCTCATCGTTAGTTCAGATCAGTTTCCAGTGCATATTGCCATACCGTAATTGCTATGGAAATTTCAGAAAGAACATGGGCTAAGGAAGGCAGCGTTGCTTTTCTGTGGTCAACAGAGCACCCAGTGTGGCAGGAAGGTCATAAACATTCAAGTTGGGTATTTGGTAAGCCCCAGACTTCTTGTAAGCTCTGAAGTTTACTGGATAGCTTTGAGAAAGCCACTCTAAATCTAACTTGCTTTAGTTTCCACAGGCGGTATGAGTTTTAAAAAAGCTTTGCGCTTTTTGGTGGGAGGGCAGGATGCCAATATAGCAAACAAAGCAGACTCATTCATCACTCAAGTAGGAAGGAGCTTGTTTTTGCAGTGCTCCATTTGCTTTCCTCGAGCAGCCTCCTAGCAGAAGGCTTAGAATGAAGTTAACCAGAGCCATTCTAAAACAACGGTAAGGAGGAATTAGCTTTGCACCCAGGGCAGCATTTAAGCCACTTTACTCAAGAGTCAGGTGGAGAACTTGAGGAATAGTAAAGATTGAGTAAAAGGTCCAATCTCTTGCCCTCTATGGCAACTGAATGAGCCAGGTCTGTACTCCAATCAAAGTCTTGAATCAAAAAGGACAGGCTAGATCTGGGACAGGAAATTTGAGAAATCCCACTGGGAATTTACACCAGCGGTAGCCATCTTCACCTGCCCCCAGGGGTCATCTGCCATCTCCCCAGCTCTCAGAAAGGTGTCATACTGGTATCCTGGCAAGCATGACGTGTGCTCCAATTGGCTGGGGGGTGGAGAAAGCCTCTTGTAACTTAACCCAATGTAGGCGGAAAACCCCTTAAAAATGGGCTGTGGATATGCAGTTTTCATCCCACACTGACCATCAGAAAACTACCTATGTTGGTTTGCTCATGAGATTAGAAGCCCATTTGTAAATAGCAAGGTTAGGTTAGATAAATTGAACCTGTTGGTTCAAATCTATTTTCCATATCCTGCTTCATCCATTTGCCTTCCTTTTCATTCTTCATAAAAATTCACATAATATGGCTGTGGGGTCTAATGGGTGTTTATGTGAGTTTTTTGTAATCTCCCACATGCCTACTTGCTGAGTGTATACTACTGGGGTTGAAAATGTGGGATTTCACAGGGGAAAGAAGAGATTGCACTGAACACCAATGTGGGGAAGGCAACTAGATGCCAATCCTGCTGTTCCTGATGAATTGAGAGAGATCTGAGAAATGCAGGGTGTGGCGACTCAGGCTACCTTTGGCAGCAATTGCTTTGACCTCCTAGACTTCACTCCACAGAGTTGTCCAGGTTTAACAGGAAGTGTAGTGGTAGCAATTACTGGATAGTTTTGGCATTGGCACTGGCTTACTTTGCAAGGCCATTGTGAAAGGATGTAAAAAGCAGGGTCCTAGCCCCCCGCTTCTGTTAAACCTAGTAAGGTGTTGTTGTTGTTGTTTTTGGTAAAGAGATAAAAAGAGGTTTTGGCTCTCAAGGCACTGGGTGTGTCCCCCAAACAGATGCACACCACAGAGGCCTCCTCCCTAGCTGCTGGCCTTTTTGCAGTGCCGTCACAGAATCCACAAAAACCTCAATTATTGCGATATAACTGCCTCTGCTTCAGTCCCTTGTTAGTGTAGGACTGCTGATCAAGGAACGCTTTGTTCTCCGGAACGCAGGTCAGCTAACTGGTCATGCAACATACCCCAGTCATTTCTGTGCTCCAGGGCACCCTGGAAGAAGAACAGATCACACTCTTGCCAGGAATGTCCCTGGACTGATTCTGGAAGAAACTAGGCTCTCAGCTAGCTTGGCATGCATGGAAAGGAACAGAACCACCATGAAAAAAGAGGAACAAGGGGTGATGAAACTGGGGGTGGAGATTGCATAATTTCCCTGGTCTGCTCAGCACAGTGTCCCCTACACGTTTCCTCAGATTTCAGCCACCTAGTAAAAGGGAAGCCCCCAAAGAAGGGGGCAGCAAGCCTTGACAGCTTAACAGGCCTCTGTAGGAGGTTTCATCAATGACTATGAAAATAGTTACTTGAGGTCTCCTGGGGACACAAAGATCACCACCAGGCTTGCTGCAACACTCCCTATGTTGTCACTGGAGTACCAGGCAAAAGTGTAGACCCTGCACTTTAATCTCCCTGCACTCCCCAGAAGTCTGCAACTGAAGCACTTTTATTAGACCAGTGTTTCTCAAACTCGGGTCTCCACTTGTTGTTGGACTACAACTCCCATCATCCCTAGCTAGCAGGACCAGTGGTCAGGGACAGTGTTAGAAACTGAGTTATGAAAGCTAGGAGATCAATGGCACCTTAAGCCTAGGTTATGGGTACAACAACAGAATGTCTAGATGCGCTTTTTTATAACAAGAATACAAAGCTGAAAATAAATGAACTGCAGCTAAAATATTATCTTCGTTTTCAACATGGTCTAGTCCTTCCCTGGCCCACCCCCCTAATATTCTTCAGAGGGAGGGTCTCTTCTCCAGTCTTCAGAGAATAGCTAGAAGTGGAGAAGCAGAAAAAGGTCCTCCTTTCTTTACACTCTGCAGTTTTAATCTGAAATCTTAGGCACAGTACTGTACCCAGAGCTCAAACTGCTCACACTAATGAAATTCCCTGTTGCAAAATGCGCCTAAGGCTGGGAGTTTTGAACACTGGTCAGGGATGAAGGGATTTTTATTCCAGCAAAAGTGGAGAGCCAAGTTTGAGAACCCCTGTTAGACTGTGAAGCCACAGCCCATCTTAAAACTCAGTATTTTCCTATGCAGGGTAACTCTCAGAAGAAGAACAGCAGCATCAGTTACTTGCAAAATCGAAGCCAGTTAGGAATTTGCATCATCTCAGCAAGGGGGAACCAAAAGAAGTTAAAAATCATTTTATTATTAAACACCAAAAAATAAAAGTTTCACAGTTAAAATTGTCCCAGGGAAGACAGTAGCTTCCAGTGTGTCATACCCTGAGTGCCCAAATATCTCCACATCCACAGTGTAGGAGAGAGTTCTCATATCCTTGTGCCCATAGCTAAGGCAACCCTTAGGAATGTTCGACCAGCACAGGGACAGATTTGCAGCATATGCACCTGGCCAGTCTGGAAAGTGAGGCCTACACAGCTAAGCAAAGAAGGTCAGACAATTTCCCAAGATCCGCAGTGAGAGTGCCAGGCCGCTACCTGGATCAGAACAGTCCAGTTTTGTGTAGAATCCAGGAGAGTTAGGATCTCCAGTAGCTGCTACCCAAGAGAAAGTGACGAGTGCACATGGAACTGCTGTGGAAAGCTTAGTCCTGGCTTTGGGGCCACCCTGAAGCTTCTTCCAGTCTAACAGGAAGTAATATGTGGTCAGACTGCGGCTGGCTCACCTCTTGGCCCTGCAGGAAGTGACCTACACAGCCACCAAGAGGTCTTGCAAATGGCCAGGATTCTGTACTGTCAAAACAGAAGACAGATGCAAGCTTTCCAGTTACAGTTCCCAGATGCCGCTGCAATTTGCAACAGCCGCGAAGTTCAAAATGGTGTCATGCACCACATTCTAGGAAGTGGCTCAAAAAAGAACTTGTCCTTCCAATCCGACAGGGACAGAAACATATTAGTCAGAGCTTCTTTGGTTCAGTCCAACACCTCAAGAACAGTCTTCTGGAGAGCAATGGAGAACATTTCTTCCCAGGGCACACGCAGCCATTCTACCAGATCAGCCAGCAAGTCTGGACATTCTGTTCGCAAATGCCAAGTGCTCTCCACCTTCAGGACCTGGAGAGGAAGAAGGCGCAGTTCAGATGATCAGGGAATGGGCATACCCAGCAGTAAGCCCCTGGACTGAATTCAGCTTGCAGTACTAAGTATTGCTAGGTCTGAATTATACCTCCTGACCAAGCAGAACTGCCCTTCCTTACTCAGACCAGAGATGGTCACCTGCTTTTGCAAGGAACCAGTAGATTTAGCTACGAGCAAGAGAGCAGTCCTGCAATAATGCTAACCTTTCCCAAGGAAGCATTTACCCCCTTCCATACAAGCATTTTAGTATCCCGGAAAAAAGTGCTCATACTGTGACTTATACCTCATCGTAAAGTTGCAGCTTCATGTCACAAGGGGAGAAACGGTAAAGTATAACACCACAGATGCTGCTGATTGGTTCACTCCCTTTCAGCCGGGAGCACTTCTTTGCCTGCTTCTCAGTGCCAGTGTCTGAGGCAGCAGAGGGTGGGATGTTTTGCCACTGGTGATCTTCTTCCACCAGGAAAATATTTTTCTGGGTGCTGAGCACAGTCACAGGAAAGGCAGAAGCCCCTGGGGGAAAAGAGGTTGGACAGTCGGCTTATGCAACAGAGTTATATCAAGCCACACAAGGGTCTTGTTGAGGCTGAAAATGACTCCAGGAACAGCACATCCATACCTTGAATGAGGTATGCCAACAGGTAGAAGAAGGGTCTGGCCAAGCCACGTGCAGCTTCTTTTGCTAGGTCCTTTTCAATCAATGGCCTACAATACAGACGCAACATGACTGAGGCAAGTCCTCCACCAAATTCACTTTCTATTGTTGCTCCTATCCTAGCCAACCACTATTCCTCGCCTGCATAACTTACTTCCCGCTTTGTGTCCTTGTCACGACAGCACCACCTGTAGGCTAAAACCTCATTTACACTGTACAATGGCAATGGGCATCTTACCACAATGGATGCTGCGGATTCATTTCCTCCACAGTAACGTCTGGGATTTTCCTCCTGATTTTGGCCGGCAATTCATCTTTGAGATCTGGAGAGGATATTGAGGGAAGTTATGATGCAATTGTGATAGTTGGGCGGTTTCAAGGTAAATTTCCAGGGGAAAGGTCTAAGCCAGCAAGGGCCAATTCTCAAGACTAAATTTTGCTGCGTCAGTGAAGAGAGCCCTCCTTCACATAGGGCTTGGATGGGTGGGTGGGAAACCATAGCTCACACAGCAGCAAGCAGGGAGGAGTTGAGTAGCTAGAGTTGGCTCTCTAAGACCATCTGAGCAAAGGCTACAAGGCAGTTAAGCCAAACCAAAAATAAGAGGAATTCTATTGTACCACACTGCATTAGCCTCTAGTCAACAGGCTTAGCGGAACTGCACTGACCACAGCACTTGTTTGGGATTGTCACACAAGCCACCATTATTCTGGTTACTTTTCTTCCCTGTCAGCACAGAGACAAGATCAGGGAAGCTTGTACAAATGCACATACAGCCCCATACACCCTCTTACATGTCAGGCACTGGAGAAATCTTCTGCAGTGACTCTGGTTGCGAAGCAGCAGGTTATAGGAGGCGCAGGGATTCGCAAACTCCATATGCAAGCTTTGATGGCACAGCCCCACCTCCAGGCAAGACAGGTCAGACAGGCAGTGACTGTCCCCCTTCTTCAGCCAAGCAGACGGCTGTCCCCTGGTGCAGAAGAACCAAATGTGTCAAGTCAATGCAAGGTAGGGCCCACCTTACCCAGCAAGCTCAAGGAGGGTTGTTTTTTTGGCAGAGACTAACACCAAGAAGGGATAAGAGTTTTCTCAGTCAGGAGCACAGAGCTCAGGAGAGGAGCACGTGTTTTGTGTGAACGAATATCCCAGGTTAAATCCCAGGAATCTCTGGCTAAAGGTTTTCAGGAAGCAGGTGATGGGGGAAGTCCTCTGCCTGGGACCTCAAACACCCATTTACTAGTTAGGGTAGTAGACAATGCCGGGTAACATGGGTTGAAGGCATTATATGATTTTAATAGAGGTATTTCTTTATTCTGAAGGCTCTCTTTGCTCTAGCCATATCAAGTGGATGTCAAGACAGGAAACAGAACACAAATGAGAACTGCTCCAAGAATAGCCCTTCTCACCTAATCCGTCCTGTAATCTCCAGCACGTGGAACTGGGTGTCTGAAGCCACCAGGAGGGCCAAGAATTCCCCAGGTCTGCCATTCTTCACAACAGCCACCTAGAACAAACATGCCAGAAGGCAGAGTCTTATGAGCCTCAGTAAAAAACACCAACCTACATGACTGTCAATGCCTAAGTTAAATCCAGATGTGTTCCCACCCACCTTAAGTGGTCAGTATTGTGGAGAGTTGCCTTTCTTACCTTCAGAAAGCACTTGAACTCCTCTGCCCTGTCAAAGACCTCCATGTCCAAATAAAGCTTGAGCCGATGATCCACAGAGGAGAAGTCCTGCATGTCCATAGTACTGTGGGTGGCTGAGGGGGAAACAGAGTTTTTAAAAAGAAAAAAAAAAGTGGGGTTGAGCAGTCAACGGCAGTATTTTAACTTTGCAACCTGGTAGTCATTGGTGCCCATATCAAACTAGAGCTATTACTGCATCCAGACTGGGTTTATTTCAGTTACAAGGTCATACCTGAATTGGTCACAGAGTTTAGAATCCATCAAAATAGAGATTGTTAGGCCCATCTCTTTTGAAGGCAAGCCTCCCTCTGCTAGAGTATGCTTATCATCTGACTAGGTTCCAAGCTAGATAGATCAATGGAAATGTGGACCACATTCTGAAAGTTGCTAATGGGCTTCCCAATACCAGATCTATGCAGAATTCCCCTTCTATGCCATGTAGCTTTCCCAGAATACATGTCCACTCACCCAGATAATATTATGGTCTATGAAACCCAGCTCTAATAGAAAGCCTCTCATGGCTCTTCTACAATTGAAGTAGGGAAAAGGCACAGATTAGAACCAGGGTGGGAAACCTGTGCTGTTGGGAGCACAACCTCTGACCATTGGCCATACTGAGATATGATATCCAAATATCGAACGGGCTGTCACATGGAAGATGGAGCAAGCTTGTTTTCTCCAGCACTGGAGGCGATGGATTCAAGTTACAAGAAAGGAGATTCTAACTAAACATCAGGACGAACAGTGGAACAGACTGCTATGAGAGGTGGTCGACTCTCCTTCCTTGGAGGTTTATAAGCAGAGGTTGGATAGCCCTCTATCAAGGATGCTTTAGTTGAGATTCCTGCATTGCAGAGGGTTGGACTAGATGACCTAGGGACCCCTTCCAACTCTATGATAGGTAACTTCAGGATCACAGATGCTCCTACACAGAGATGGGAGTAAGCTGGCAACAATGGAGGTTGTTGGCAACACCCCCCCCCCAAAGAGCTCCATCCCCAGCCTGAATTAAAGCAATCTGCCTGCTGTCACCTTACTTTGGCACTACCAATCCAAATGCAGCCACCACCAAACCTTCAGCAGACATTTACACAGACATTAGCAAGTCACCTCCTCTTGGCTGCATTCAAAATTGCAGCTGAAAACGAAACAATTCAAATAAATAGCCACATAGTCCTCTTAACAATCAGCAGATGGAGCTCCTGCTTCACTTCTGCAGGAAAAAAACAACAATTCTATTTATAGGAATACCAGCCTGGGCAGTGGCAGGAGTTAAGGCAGTTTCAAAGATATTAACTAAGGTTAATACTGAGTCTTGGGGCAGAGGATGGCATTTCTTTTAGTATACCTCTACCCCCTCTAACTGTGCAGAATTCAGTGCTCCCCTTGACTTTGCAGACCCACCCCTACCAGGTTGCCAGCACTCACGGGGACTCAGATTCCAGTGTTCCTCCTGCTCCATGCTCAGGGAGAGCTGTGGAGGGGTGGGCCCACGGGAAGGGCCATACTGATAGCTCCCCAACAGGCCCCCGCCATTGGTATCCGTTTGGCTGAGGAAGGAGTAGCGGCCCCTGGAGCTCAAGCCACTCTTGCTGCCACTGCCGTCCGCCCCTTCCGAACTGCGGGAGCTGGAATGGGCAGCGCTGCCTTGGTCACTGCTCAGCTCTTGGATCCGGGGACTGGAGCCGGTTCCCGTTTCAGAGGTAGTCTCTTCGCCAGTGTAGAACTTTCCCGACTCTGCCTCCTGCTGGCTTTCCCCAGGAAGCAATGGAGTGCTGGAACGCCCCTCGCAGGGCAAGATGACCACATGGTCGCTGGAGCAGCTGGGGCAGATGGTGGGCTCACTGAGAGCAGTGGCACCTGAAGAGGAAGAAGAGGAACATAGCAGAACCTGGTCTGGCAGCCGCAGTCCTAGTTGCAAACTAATCAAGCACCAGGCTCTACTCTCAGGGACCCAAAGTCTAACATGTTAGTCCCTTGCCGCCCTGCCTTCTCCTTAAGGGAGTTTCCATGTGCATCCCTTGATGCTCTGGTCTCACTGGCTAATTATGCTGCAAAGCACTGTATTCATCTCTCATAATCAACCTTGAAAAAATTAAGAAAAGCAAAAGTTGAATACTTTGTCAATGCATTCCCCCACCCCAAAGGAATTCATCCAAATAGCTAAGACAATGACTTATGGTTAAATAACACAGCACTCTCACAAAGATGGAAAGCTAACTAGGAAAAAAAAATCAATATAATTCATAGCATTATAGAGAAATTTAACAGCTGGGCAGCAAAAGTCTTACCATAGAAACATGCAGATGTAGCAGAGGACTAAACACATCTAGGAAGAAGGCAAAGTAGCTGCAGTAGCCAATTTACTCATTCAAAGGCTCCAAATCCCCTAGACACAGGTTCACGACTAAGTCCCAAAGAGAGCTCAGCCTACTAATTCATTTTAGATCTCTCTTCTTCAAGGGAGAACAAATGAGATTGTAAGTGGTCAACCACAGTGTTTTCACATTCCAATGAGTGCTTTGAACTTAAAGGGCTTCAGCACAACCCAGTAGGTATGACCCCCATTTTGCAAATAGGGATATACCCTGTTCATCCCATACCTTGTTCAGAGAAAGCTGAAGCGTCTATAGTGGAGCCTGGATTCTGCCGTCCAAGTGACAAGAATCCAACAAATTCCTGTTTGCATTTTAGACACTGGAGCTTTGAACTTCCCTCGGCCTTCTTCTGGTTTTCCTCCAGGGTGGGTCCCAGCACCTGGAGCAAGTCCTTTAAAAAGAAAAGCAAGAAGTGGGCAGCTGCAGATGAATGCGAGGGCAGCTGAGATACCACTGCCTCCCTTTACACCAGAGTGAATATCACAACTAGCACCTTTCTTAGCCTTGGGCAGAGAGGGTGGGAGGCCAAAAACACCGGAGGAAGCACTGCACATCTCTCCAAGCTGACTAGCAGCTGATTTAGGACAGATAAGGTGAAATACAAAATTTATAGAATTTGTTGCCACAAGATGCGGTGGCTCAGATGACTTTAAAAGGGGATTAGACCTTTCGTCCCTGAATTTGTCCAACTCAAGTGCATATTAATCTTGGCATTTTGAAACTCAAGGTTTGGAAGCCGTATGTCACGGAATGCCAGTACCTGGGGAGCAGGAAATGATCATCAACTTCCATACCCTGCATTTGGGTTTCCCACACTCATCTGGTGGCGACTGAGGGAAACAGAATGGTAGACTAGATGGGACCATTGACCTGTTCAGACAGGGCTGCTCTCGTGTCCTTAAGAGTCAAGCTGGCCCCACCTCAGAGACAACACCCCCCTCTAAATTTGGGAAGCTAAGGTTCGGCAGGGGCACCCTCCCCTTCCACTCCAATCTGAGCTGTGTACCAAGCACCTCCTCACCTACCTGCACACACCGCTCAGGGTGGTCATCCAACACTACGTATCGGCGCTTCCGTCGGTCCTTGCGGATGTAGCTGAAGTGCAGTGTGAGAACAGGAAACACCCGCTCCAGGTCCTGCCAGGAAGAGATAGGTTTCTGGTCGGAACAAGCTTCCCCAATGAAAAGAAACCTGCCCTGCTCGCACTCTCTTCACAGGCACACTGCAATGGAGACCGCTTTGCCCAGCCCCTTTAACTTGGACCAACCGGCAACTGCAGCCACTTGCTGATCCTAGCACAGGTTGTGTGTCTCTGCAATAGGAGTTCCTCGAAAACCTCTCTGGCAAGGTAACCCAATAATTTGCATCCCCCCGTTCTGTTAGCTATTGGGTGGTGGGGGGAGAGAGACAAGGAAGAGCTACAGAGGACACTGAACTGCTCACCTGCTGCTACTAGCCATGACTATGATGTACCTCCACAGTTGGGAGGCAGAAATGCTTCCAAATACCAGTTGCTGGAAACCACAGGAGAGGAGAGAGTTCTTATGCTCCTGTTCTGCTCACTAGTTTCCCACAGGCCTCTGGTTGGTCACTGTGAGAACAGGACGCTGGACTACATGGGCCATGGGCCTGATCCAGCAGGCTGTTCTTATGTTCTGAGATTTCAGCAAACATCACCCACATATTTCCAAGCTCATCTTCACACCTACAATGACTAGCAACTTGTTTGATCCAGATGGTTTATCAAGACGCTGAATTCTGCAACCAATGTCAGACTATGCTTGCATGGCTGAAACCAATCATGGAATGTAAAACAGCTGTAGTGAAGTGAATATAGGGAACCCACTATACCCCAGAATGCCTCCTTTGAAGAAACTGACAGAGCAGACCCCAAATACACAGTGGGGTGGGAGTCATGGATAGAGCCTACCACAAGGCTCTCCTGGATATTTATATCCCAGTGCAATGCTGCTGTGAATAGGGTGGTTTTCTCCTCTCAGTGAGATTAGCTAAATATTGGGCAAAAGAGAACATTCTCCTCCATGTACTGTTGAGGTGCCCTCTCTACATGCACTAACAGGTACTGGTGCTCCGATTTCTGTATCATCTGAAGGCAACCAAGCAGGCTCAAGCTACCACAAAACCTTAGATGCTTAAAAACAAGGCTGACACTGTCGTTGTTGGGAAATAAGTTGTTGGGAAATAAGAAGAAAGCTGAACCCAAGGCCAGCAGCAAGTGAGAGGAAGGACTGGTTTTGTCTGGGGCTTTCAAATTCCTGCAGCCATAAATGCAGAAACTGTGCAAAATGGTGCCAGCGCCAGCTACCACTCACTCAGCTGTAATGTGATCATGTGCTTTATAGTAGCAGTAGTAGTGGAAAAAAGAAGTGGATTTGAAGCAGAAAGTATGGACTAGAGTAAGCAACTCTGTTTCAGGAAAAGAAAATAATGTACTGTACTAAGTTTCCTATTGACAAGAATTCTCACTTGCTTGGTAGATCTGCCCAGCCTGATCTACACGGTATGTCACACCCGAAATAATCTAATATACCTGTGCACTGCCTGAAGGAAAGCTCATTGGAAAGAGCCAGCCAATACTCGCACACAATCATTAGACAATGCTATACTGGAGTTCATGGTGGTTAGTTTACTGGAAACCCTGTCCCCCACCAAAGCAACTGGAACTCACCATCCTTCTCCACTGCATCTCTGAGGTTTCTATTTTCCGAAGGCTTTTCAGCTCCAGCTTGCGCAAAACCTTGCCTTTTCTCAGCTCCACCTCCATTATGTGTCGGGAAGTGATCCGCAAAAAGATCCAGTCTGGTTCTGGGTCACAATCTTCTTCTATCTGGCTTACCAGCAGAGGCTGATAGAGCTCCACTGCCAAGATAAATGAGAACATTAGTCCCTACCTCTTTCAGCATCCAGAGTCCCAGCAACAATCAAAGTCTGCAAATCCCCACATATTCAAAGACTGCCTATGGAAACTGCAGGGTTGCAAAGCCCACTGAAAGCAAGAGACAAGTTATGGCAATGCTTTAACTAAAGCAGGTATGAAATTAAGGGCACCGCATGATGCAAGCAAAGTAATTTTCTTGGAAGAATCTTGTCACATAATGCAGTCTGCCCTAGGGCTGGAACTGGGACATCATATACCTAGCTTGAAATCCTGGCTCCGTGGGCTTTCACATGCCCATCATTCTCAGCCAATGATACCTCTCAGTCCAGGAGGACTTAATGTCATTCTGAACGCCTTTTGAAAAAGGAATGCTATGTGCCTTACTGTCAGGCACAGAGGGAGCCAGGATTCCCAATTTCTGTATGGTATGATGAGATTTGTCAACACTGAACAGGAAGTATTCCCCTTATGAAAGATCACAGATATGGCATCTGGTTGGTATTCAGTGGTAGAAAGTAAACACAGAGTTGCAAATTGTTAGCTATTAACAATCAAATAGCTTTCAACACCCCAATTCAAGGTGTTATTTCTTGACAGCGGGGTGGGTGAGTGGGGAGATTCAGCTTCAAAGAGAAAGAAAGGGTTTGCTCCATAAAAGTTACCCAGAAGGTAAATAAAGGTCAAGCCCAAGCAATTTGGGATCTCCTTTTTCCATCAGTAACATGCCAAGGGCTTGCTAGCTTAGAATGGCATTACCTTTTTGCACTTTCTAGGAAGAAGAATCCTTTACTTAAATTGGGGGTGGGGAAACCTGTGGCCCTCCAGATATTGTTGGCCTCCAGCACCCATCAGCCCCAGCCAGCATGGTCAACAGCCAGGGCTGATGGGAGTTGGAGGCCAACAGCATCTGCAAGGTCACACGTTCCCCACTGTTGATATGAATGAAGTGTACTTGTCAACGTGTATCCACACCACAAATATGGTATCACAATACCCAGATTTTAAGGCAAGACGAACTTGCATGTTTTCTGGTCATTCAATTGGTTTTTAATGTTAGGTTTTTTGGCAACATTACGAATTCTGCCACCACAGATTAGGGATGTAACAGAAGCTAGGACTGAGCAAATTTAGTATTGATTAAGGGGGCCCAGGCAGGGCCTCTGCACATTGAGACAGACTTGATTTTTTATTGATTGACTGATTGATTGATTGATTGATTGATTGATGGATGGGTGAATGGACTCTGCATGAAACATTATCAGACACTGTGCTCTACTCACACCTATGCAGAGTCCAAGGCCATTCAGTAAGCTGCATATGAACAGGTTCTAGAATAGGGGCAGCCAACTTCCGTTCCATAGGCCTAATTAGGCCCAGCAGGTCTCCCCATAAGGCAGTTTTATCGAAGCCACTGTCCTATATTATGTCAGATATGGGGCAGGTAAACACACAAAAGGGGCTTGAAGGCAATGGACAGGTGAATGGCTCCTCCTACCTATCCAATTTGGCCCACAGACAGTGGGGGCCCAATTTGGCCAGCTCCGATTCTCCTTCCCTGTACTGGAGGGTTCACTGAGTCCCCCGTTCCAACAGGAAAAGGACTACATGTGGGCAGATTCGCAGCTTAAGGCCTTGCAGAACAAAATGCTTTAGCCAGGGATAGAATGCAGGCAAAGACACAGGCAAAGGGTATAAGACATGACAGAAGTCAGACAGGAGGGAAAAAAGAAAATATAAATACCGTATTTTTTGCACCATAGGATGCACCGGACAATAGGACGCACCTTGTTTTAGAGGAGGGAGAACAAGGAAAAAAAAATCTCCCCCTCTCTGCCCAGCGCCCCTTCAGCGAAGCGGCAGGAGGCGCTGCACAGAGAGGGGGAGAATTTTCCCCCTCTTGTTTTCCCGCTCTAAAACAAGGTGCCGTTTAAGGTGCGTTCGGGGCGGCTACTTTGGAAGCCTGGAGAGTGAGAGGGTCGGTGCGCACCGACCCTCTCGCTCTCCAGGCTTCAGGTTCTCTCGACCTGCTCTTTGGGGCTGGCGGGGAAGCCCACCACCAGCCCCAAAGAGCAGGGCGGGGAGCAGCGGAAAGGCGCAGGGGAGAGGCTGCTGCCATAGTCGCGCGTCACCTCTCCAGTTGGGAGAGGGTTGTGGGGCTATGGCTTCTTTAGCCCCGCACGCGCTCTCCCAGCTGGAGAGGTGGCGCGTGGCTAAAGAGGCTCCTGCCATAGCCGCGCATCACCTCTCCAGCCGGGAGAGGGTCACGGGGCTATGGCGTCTTCGCTCCATAGGACGCACACACATTTCCCCTTCATTTTTGAAGGGGGAAAAGTGCGTCCTATAGAGCGAAAAATAGGGTACTATAGATGTCTTTCACCGTGGTGGCATCTTTTGAGATTTCAGCACTAACCGTATGCCAGCCCAAATGCCCACTGCCTCTCACCTTCCTATGGAAGTGGACAGTGAGCTAAGAGCAGAAGCATTTACCTTCTGGTTTTTCCTCCTGGCGTTTATCTTCTTTAACTGGCATCTTCTCAGTTTCCACTACTGCCTGGGGGCCTTCTGCCAGGATTTCAGGCATAGGCAGCTCCGGTTCCTTTTCCTCTGTGGCCTCAGGAACTTTTTGTTCCTCCACGGTGTTCTTGCTTTGTTGGGAAGCCTTGCCTGAGCTGCCCAGATATTCTACTGTGGGGCTGCCAGAAGGGGTGATGGTTGCTGCCTGTCCATCTGCTTCCAGGTGTCGCCTGTACTGGAGCCAGCGGGTACCAAAGCGATCCCGGAAACTGTCCATGCGGTCCATCTCTGCCTGGTGCTGCCGAACTATACCTGTGGGATGACAGACAGCCTCCCAAGTTTGCAACGGTGTCTTGCACGCACCCAGCCCCTGGTCATAGCCCCGTTGCCGTGTGCCTCACCTGCCGAGACGGGCAGGCTTCTGTACTCATGTTCAGTATCGCTGGGCTCTGAAATGCTGGCCCTGCGCACTTTCACTTGCCCCTGAAGGAGAGACAAGCTGTTAGGTTTAGGCTGGAAATGGCTCTCTCACATTCCTTAATGGTAGCATTACAATACCTTAATATTATCATTAATTGCTTCACGCCTTTGGAAAGAAGGCTTTTTTAGAAGTGTCTAATTAAATGTGTTTTTGCTGAAAACCTTAAAGTGTTTTCTTGGCAACTATTCCCCCATTTCCACCACCTTTCAAACAACACCAAAAAAGAGAGCTTGGGATGCTGCACAAAGTTACTAGATCAGTGTTTCTCAAACTTGAGTCTTCAGCTATTGTTGGACTACAACTCCCATCATCTCTGACCACTGGTCCTGCTAGCTTGGGATGATGGGCGTTGTAGTCTAACAACAGATGGAAACCGAAGTTTGAGGAGCACTGTAGATGGGTATTTGAGATCTTCTTCCATACTGGACTGGTTCAGACGAGGCTGAAGGATGGGGAGCCTGCAGTTCTCCAAATGTTGGAATCAGCCCCTGTCTGCATGGCCAATGGTCCGTGATGATAGCCGTAGGAGTCCAACAGCATGTATAGGGCTACAGGTTCCCTCATCCCTGTGCTAAAATAGTTTATTGTTACAAGGATGAACCTAGCCTCCCCCTGCAAAAAGCTGCTGCACTACCTCCTCCTCTGGCATGGTCATGAGTTCCATTTTGGATCAGTAATGCTGCGTCATCTAAACCTGGACAATCCATGTTTAATCTAAACTATAGCCAGTGGAAACAAGCCAACCACAAACCATGGTTAATGAAGCTGGCTTGTTTTCAATAGTCATAGTTAAGGTTATCCATAGTTTAGGGAATTAATGACACACTGAACTGCAGTTAATCTAAGAATGGAAGCAGAAGCTTACTATCTTTGTGTGGCTGCACTGGAAGAGGAGTGGGAGGGCATTCAAACCCTAGGGAGGCTAGCCTCATTCTCATAATGGTAAACCACATCCAAAGCATTGCTATTGTTTATGTTCCTGCAACTCCTCCTGAACAAGTTAATGTGAGTGATCACATGGTACACAAACCACCAGTAGATGAACAGACTCCTCTCTCCTCTCCTCCCACAATTCCTGAACACTCCAAGCAGCAAGAACACCTTATTTCTCTTCCGAGGGGGTAATAGGGGTGGTCTGCTCTCTGCAGGGGACTGGCTGTCACTTTGGTCTGCAGCACATGAACTTTCCAGGGCACTGCGGTCTGTCGGGGCCCTCTCTGAGACTGAGGTGCAGAGTGATTGGACAGCAGCCTGATCCAGCTTTGAGAGGTGCTGAAAGAGACAGAATGAACCCAAGAGAAGTAAGAATGGCAGGTTTGAAGACTTCTCTCTTCTTTCACCCTCTACCCTCCTCTTTGAGAAGTGGCTAGCCTGTGCTGTTTTAGTAGTGTTACATGACGATACATCCTTCAGGAGAGAGGCTTCTGGATAAGCAATAGCATCTGAGCCAACAATACCATTATTGGCTTCCCATTATTCTGAAGGATCAAGATATTCTAGATCACACAGAGGATGAGACAGTTTCCAGCAGCAAGAAGTTCTGCACCCCACCCCCTCTTTCCACCACAACACCTAGAAAAGTAATACTTGTATACCCTACTCACCCTCAGGTCAAAAGCAGACAACGGCTCTTCATCAAGAAGGAACTGGTATTAGAACAAAACATGACAGTTAAGAGACCAATAACCCCATTTCCTAGTCACTCACATAACCAAGAAATCAGAAAAGCCCCATGCCATAGCAAAGGAGCCACATAAAATACAGATATAGCTAGATGGTTGGCTATACAAAATACCTTCTAAGAATTACAATTAAACAAAGGAAAGAGTTAAAAACTGTCCTTGAACACAAATAAAACATATGAATGAATGGGCTTTCTTTACCAGGCATTAAACAGGTTAGTCAGATGGTAGATCTTATTCTAACTGCCCCAGCTAAAAAATTTGCCATGTTTGCTGCAGATGAACATGGAATTCTCAGGCTCATTCCAGGTATCTTTACCAAAAGAGCGTGTGAAGTCAGGAACAGGAAACTGAGCTTCTGGGCTCAGCAAATGGCTAAATCAACATTACCCCTAGTTGGAGAGCAGGAGATGGCTTCTCTTTGTACAACAGGCCCAAGTGATTGACACCTCTTATGCTGCCTCCCTGTGGTGGAAATGCAAGTCCTGCATCCTTTTATATGGGACTGAGTAGCCAGAGTAGCCAACAAGGATTTCTGGAGCTACAGACCGCAACTTCAGTTCACAAATGGAGAAGAACATTTTGGCAAAAAGTGGGGAGCAACCTTTTTTGGTACACAGTTTACTTACTAGTGTGTAAACACACACAGGGTTTGCTTCCCACACAAAAGTATTTAAATAGAGTGGACCGCAGGAAAGTGCCTACCATGCTATGCCATATTTGCATCTGAGTTGGGATGACCACATATACTCACATTGCTGGAGATAGCTCTAGGAGACAAGTGACTTATGGTAGCAGGCCGGTGGTTCTGATGGAACCCTAAAGGATTCCCCTCCAGGTGCAGCTGTGGGGGGTGGGGTGGGGAGAAAAAGAACAGTTATGTTTCATTTAACAAAACAATACTACTAACTGCCAGAACTTTGTCTACCTCACCATGGATGTAGCCAGGACTTATGGGGGCAGAACCTCAGTTAGTTAAGTATTTATTATTGATTTACTTGATTGGGCAGCTGCCCCCAGGCTATACCCATGTACCTCACTGCCTTTCCCCTGCACTCTTGCTAGGAAAATTTGAATTCTACTTTCCAGCTTCCTTCAAGGAGTTCCTTAGCCTCTTTTATCTCATAAAACAACCCTATGGAGGTAGGTGAAGCCAAGAGATGGGAACTGGCCTGAGATTGCTTAGCCCAAAGAGTTTACTAGAATTTGTACTTAAGTTTTCTTAGTCCTGTACCCTAACCATTATACCACACGGGTATTCAGAACAATTCCCTCCCTACAAGACAGGGAATCCATTGTAAGTTGGAGAGCTATATGTTAGGAGTGTCAAAGGCATCTACTGTCTACTATCCTTAAATAACAAGGCCTCCTTCCTCAAACAAAATACAGTCCTATAATGTTGTCTTACTCAAATGCCCAAACCACTAAACAGACACTAATAAACTGACCACCAATCAGAACCAGTGAAGTGCAGTGGTTATAGTGTTGGGGGAGGCCTGAGACACCAGGATCCAAATCCCCCCTCAGCCATGAAGCTCACTGACTGACTTTGGGCCAGTCACCCACAGTCAGCCTAGCCTACCTCACAAGGCTCTGAGGATGAAATGGGGAAGGGGAGAAACACTGCATTGCCTTGAGTTCCTTGGTGGAAAGTTAGGGTATAAATGCAATAAATAACCAATCAGGTTGATTGCTCACTCTTCTCAGGTTGTGCAGCGATGACAGCGGTGCCAACGCAGTGTGTTCCAGCAGCAGGTTATAGGCAATGTCCAAATGCTGAAGGCTGGGGAGCTTTTCCACACCTATGGAAAAGGAAGTAGAGTAATGTCGGAAGAGAACCCTTCTCCCCAATACTGTGCTACCCTGTGGGCCTCTTTTCTTCAGTCTGGTACAATGTGGCATGACCTAGTTTCCAGGCTACCCCTCATATCAGCAGCTCTACAACAGTCTTACCATTAATGCTATCAAGCTGGTTGTACCGCAGGATCAAGGTCACCAGTTTAGCCTGGCTGTGTAGCCCAAGTTCAGGCATCTTGGGCAAGAGGTTATAAGCCACATTTAAATATTCCAGCTCTGTCAGCACCTGTAAAGAAAACAAGGCAGTTCTCCACATTGCTCATCCATGTTCACATCCTCCCTGCTACACTGAACAACCTTCAAAGTGAACCCCCAGCCCCGAGAACATATTGTTAACGTAAGGTACACATGGCAGATCAAAAGAGCAGAACCTAACACACTCAGGCTCATGACAGCACAAAGATTAGAGAGTTCTTGGCAGAGGGCTTCTTTCGCTCAAAACTGTTCAGGAAATCTGCCATGGCTGCACATGATCTCAACTCTGCTCTTGCTCAGACAGCCACATGTGGCACTTGGGGGGCAGGAGAGGCAGCAGCATCACAGTAGGAGGAGGAAGCCAGCACCCAAGGAGGACTGGCAGTTCTCCCAACACAGACACAGCTACCCATTTGAGAAGCACTTGCTGTTAATTGCTAATTTAGTTTGTATACCATTTGCATTTTTATGCTGAAGCCGCCTTCAGTTTCTAGTAGGAAGGCAGGATCCAGACTTCACGCAGAAACAAAATCAATCATGAAAAGAACACTTGGGAACTAGAAGGCATCTATTCCATCGCTGGCAGAGGGGAAGGCTCTGCCACATAAACAGCCCCTGAAAGACTAATAGTATGAAAAAAGAAAAAGAAAAAAGCCAGGGGGTGGTGGAATGAGTGCACAGGGTCCAAGATTCCTACTGTAAGAAGAATTATATAGTATAAATAAAGCAGCCTCACATTTAACTATACAATACACTGGAAGGTGAAGTCTCCTCTCAGGCTCACAAGAATGTTTGACTTCAAGGGGGGGGTATGCTACTCAAGTATGTGGTTTTGTTAAACACAAAGTAGGAAATCCCCCTTCTCCTTTCTACCACATCCACAGTTCTCCAATATATGTTACCAAGGCTTGAAAAGAGTCAACCCAGCAATGAAGGAAGAAGAAAGCATGTAGTTGCTAACTGCTCATAATGGATTTCAAAAGAGTGGTTTTGAGCCCTCTGCCAGATACTTACTGTCAGGTAGCGCTCACAGTCCTGGATGAGATTATGACTGAGATCCAGAGCTTTCAGGGCATTCAACAATTGCTTATCAGAAACAAGAAAGAAGCGATAAGAGGTTAGTGATGGCAACTGAGTCAACCCCATAGAGCAAGCAGCCTCAAGACTAGGTGGCCAGTTATGGCACAGCCATCCAAAAGCCCAAGTCCTACCTGACCTACTCAGAAGGACTAACACTAACAAGAGGACTGTCAGAATGAGAAACCCAAGCTGCCAGAAAACAATTGTACAATTACCCTCTGTCTCAGTATTCCATTAAGTAAAATGCCATTCTCATCACCTACTACATCTCCCCCAATTCTCAGTTCTCCAGCATACCAGTGAATCATCCAAGGCTACAATGGAGTTATAGCTGAAGTTGACAGTCTGTAGTTCCAGCCATGGAAGGGCAGAACTGAGGTCCCCTCCACATGCAGAGATGATCTCCTGCAGGATAAAACACAAGTTGACAAGGAAGAAGGAGCTGTCTTTGCATCTTGCCTACCATCTTATGAACTAGCCCCTGGAGCAAGGTCTAGAATAGCAGTTTGAGCTACAGCAACTAACAGATGTGTAAGCCCCCCCCCCAAAGCTGTGAACAGCTTCACAAGCTAATTCCTGCACATAAAACAAAGGCTCAAGAGCAAGCCAGTTGGCAACTCTACCTGGCTAGCATACTCCACAGGAAATTTTGAGGTACTAGTTTTAGTTAAATCACTCCTGACCTGAGATTTAACACAGCATACAGTTTTCAGGGGTAGAGGGGACATAAAAATCTTTGGGAGCACATTCATGCAACTGAGCAGCATGCACAGTGTGAGTCTGTGACAGCCTCTCTTGAAAACAGCTCTAGCACCTTCCCTCCTGAGGTAGAAAGCAATCAAGTTAGGCATCTTCACTCACCTTCAGAGAGTTCACACATTTGGAACAGGTTAAAGCCTCCAACTGAGAATAGACACACCGCAGGCCCCGCAGATAGTGCAAAGGAACACACTTCAGCTAAGGCAAGGGAGAAAGCCGGGAGTCAGGAGATGAGAAAAGAAGAGGGCAAAACACATAAAAAGTCACATAGGCCTAAGGGCTCTTCTACAGAAAAGGGCACACATACTTTTAGGCCCTCATTATTTTCCCCTTGAGACATTATCCCGTGCATTCCTTTCCTTAACCAAAGACTTCCCTCGCCTCCTTGTAACAGCATGGCTAAACTCAGTCTTGATTCCTATAAAGGCCATTTCTCCAAATCAAATATTTTGATTCTAGATTTAGAAAGTCTTACTTTAGTCCAAAGTGCAGGAAAATAAAATTGCTTGGCTACCGTGAGAAACTATGGAACTCCCACTCTAGTCCCACCCACCATTCTGTGCATGCTATGGACAGCACAGCTTCTCACCCCACAGCAGCCACCAGAAATAGGTCAAGCCACCATCTAGCCCCTATTCCAGAGGCTCCTCACCCCAGCATCTGGGACTCACCTCTAAACGTCGCAAAGACTTGAAGGGGAAAATCTTCACATCAATTGGCAGGGCATAATCAGGAACATGAACAAGCTAAAGCAGGAGGAGAGTGATAATGAAGAAAGGAGTCACCCACTAGCAACAGGAGTCACCTCTACAAGTCCATTGCCCCACCCCGCAGTATGGTAAAAGGTAAAGGACCCCTGGATGGTAAGTCCAGTCAAAGCGACTACTGGGTGCAGCGCTCATCTCACTTTTCAGGCCAAGGGAGCCAGCATTTGTCCACAGACAGCTTTCCAGGTCATGTGGCCAGCATGACTAAACTGCTTCTGGTGCAACGGAACACGGTGACGGAAACCAGAGCGCACGGAAACACTGTTTACCTTCCTGTTGCAGCGGTACCTTTAAATTAATTCCCAATTAAAACTGCCTCCAAAAGTCATTATTTGCCTATTAGAATCAAACAGAAGCAAGGTGGGTGGGTATCTCCCAGCAGCTGCTTTGTACAAAAAGAAAAAAAATCAAGACAACAGATTTGATCATGGATCTCTAATGTCTCTGCTTAACTATCACCCAGAGTGGATGTAACAATAAAATGGGGGTAAGGAACCATATGTTGCGCTCTGAGCAACCTGAAGGAAAAGGATTGAAAAAATAAAACACACACTTATCGGCATGGTCAGAGTAAATGACAACTGATTCTCCCACATGGTCTCACCAACAGCAATCTCCCTGTTCCTCATCCCCTCACAAAGTAACCCGCTACTGTTCCCTTCACTGTAGAAGCACTATTATTAAACCAAATGCAACTGCATCTAATCCAATATAACAGTGAAATTCAAGAATTGGTATCAGCTAAGGATGTGGGCCTTTTGCCCAGATTGCTAACCAAAGCCCACATTAAAAATAGAACAAAGCAGGCTATTGCACTAGTAGATCACATCATAGTAGCATGTGCAAAGATAGTGAGAATCTAACCAGTAACAACAGCCACAAGGCAGAAGCTAGAGAGGTTCAAAGTCACTCTGAAGTCTAACAAATGACAGTGCATGTTGTGCAAGGAACAAAGTGAAGCAGAAAACCACCTTTAAATACTAAGTTGATTTAAAGTTTCTCAACACAAAGGGCCCTATGGGTCACACATAAGGATGGACCTATACAGTATAATAATCAAAATATGTTATCTGGCAGTGTTGGGTAATTACAAACGTCAGAGTTTACACTAGATTAGGGAGGAGGAAAAGGCATGCAGATCAGATACTGTAGTGATGATAGGCTGTCACGAGGGCTTCAGATACAAATAATGGATCTGTGGTTGTCTCCAGTGTGTAGGGCTACGTAAGTCTCCCATCACTGCAAGGATTTTAACTTGCACAAGAGGATCTCTCTTTTCCCAATATGCGCCCCATACCTCTGTTCTGAGGCTTTCCCCTACCCTCTGGATCAGATGTGGTGAGGGGGGAAGAGTCCTGTTGTGCAAGTGGAAATCCTGACACTGACAGGATGTGTTCGTTGGATACTGCCCACGGCCCCCAATGGGAATTCTGTATCTGACAGATATCATTGACCCTTCTTGTTGGCTACCAACAAGCACAAATCTAAGACCCTGCTCAATATGTACAGGCTTCATGTGTCCTCACAGAGCATCCGTTGGGAATGAGACTGCATCAGCAGCTTCCATGTAGATGCTTTAAAGAACTCTCATATCCCTTTTCATTTAAAAGGTTAATCTGGATCTCGGATTTTCCAAACTTCAACACAAAATATCCATCCGGGTGAAGAGATTTAATTTATTGCACTAACTCATGCAAACACCAGAGGCCTACAGCATAGATAACGAAAGTGGCAAGCACATTTCAATCCGTATCTGTGTGTCACTGCTGCTCTGGCTAAAAACCTCATGACCAGCAGAGCAAACATACCCAATGGAAACCTGAACAATGACCCTAGAGATAAAACCCAATATACACAACTCACCTTGAAGGGTAAAAGTCACAAACTAATGAAGTTGGTTATTGAGTGATACAAATCTTATTTCACAGAAGGAAGATTCTACACAGCACCAAAGAGATTCTTATTAGCATCTATCATTGACACAAATCTGACTCTACCACATCCTTTGCCCTTCTTTCCTGCTGCAGATATCACTTGTTAACTATTACATTATGCGCTTTTAAAATAATATTCATGACATTTCAATGATATATTGTAATTATGTTTCATTTTGATGTATATTTATATATTTTGATGTTTTGAACACAATTGATTTTTGTGATTCTTAGATGTTATACTTTATATATATTCTTTAGAGAGATTTAATTTGATGTTACTTACGATGTGAAATTGATGATTAGGAGGAAGAATATATGCAATTTGTATTGTATTTCTTACATAGATTCCTTTCTGTAGGGATTTATAAACTGCTTAGAAAATTCTGTGGGCATTTGAAACAGTATGTAAATTAACTAAATGAAATAAATATATATAAACTGGTGTCCATACTGAGTGATTATATAGAAAAGTTAGTACTATCACACACACACACACACACACAGAGAGAGAGAGAGAGCGCTACACTGAAGGGATGTAGGTGGTACCAAGTTTGGTTGAACTGTTTTCAGACTTTCTGCCTCCTTCCAAGTCTTTGCCCTTCAGAATGCCACATATTCTATCAGTGAACAAGGAGTATACAAAGATTTTGCCCCTTCCCTCTGCTCTGCCACTAACCCCTGTGAATAAGGAGAAAGGAGGGGAACAGGAATATCCTAGACTGCACCATCAGAATAAATCTGCAAGTTCAGGAAATGGATACAAATATTCCTACTTAAATAATTGATGCAAACAGACCTGAAATTTGTAATGCAGATCAGCTGAAGACTTCCTGTCTCCACGCTTTAACTTCAGTTTATCAGCTAGATTACTTTTCATATTGCTTTACCTCTACCACTACGTATCTCCTCAGTTATTTTAAGACTAAATTACTGAGCATTCTTGAACAGCAACCACAGTTCATCCCAACTCCCTCAATCTGTTTTTTGTCTGCTTGAACAGACGGCACGAATATACGTTTACAGCCAAGAGGAAGCTAGTTCCTTTTCCAATCTTCCACCACCCCCTCAGCCTTATGCCAGTCAGTCCTGGCTCATTCTGCTGTTGCCCACACCCTAATCTCCAGACAAAGAGTAGAGAACACTTGAAGACATTATGTGATTTTTAAAAAATGGGAATATCAGCATCTTCCATACTTTTTGTTCTTGTTGGTTAAACAAACTCATCTGGAGGCAATATATAATATTTTTCTTATCAGAGCTGTCCTGAATCATGCAAAACTTATTAAGCACACCATCAGACACAAAATGCTGGAGGATACTGAAAGTATGTGCTGCTTCTGTACCAAATCACATGGCTGCCTGTATTCGTAAAGAGGTAAGAATGCCAATTTAGGGACACGACAAGGCTGCCCAATTTCCCCATTGCTTTTCATTTCGGTCCTGGAGGTTTTGCTAAATATGATTAGAAAGGACCGTCTGATTAAAGGTATACAGGTCGGAGCTAAACAGTACAAATTGAAAGCTTTTGCAGATGATTTAGTATTGACGTTACAGGAGCCAGAATCTAGTACAAAAAGAGTATTAGAATTGATTCAGGAATTTGGTCATGTGGCAGGATTTAAGCTGAACAAGTTAAAAACTAAGGTGCTTGAGAAAAATTTAACACCGATTGAGAAAGAGAGGTTTCAGAAGGAGACAGGTTTAACATTGGTTAAGAAAGTAAAATACCTGGGGGTTAATATGACCGCCAAGAACTTAAACCTATTTAAAGACAATTATGAGAAATGTTGGTCAGAAGTAAAAAAGGATCTAGAGATATGGTCAAACTTGAAGCTTTCCTTGTTAGGTCGAATTGCTGTTATAAAGATGAATGTATTGCCAAGAATGTTATTTTTGTTTCAATCATTGCAAATTTTGGATAAAATGGACTGTTTCAAGAAGTGGCAGAGAGATATTTCTAGATTTGTCTGGCAGGGCAAGAAGCCCAGAATAAAATTTAAAATATTAACTGATGCAAAGGACAGAGGTGGATTTGCCCTGCCAGACCTCAAACTTTATTATGAATCAGCAGCATTCTGCTGGTTGAAAGAATGGCTGCTTCTTGAGAACACAGACATTTTGGATTTAGAAGGTTTCAATAATGTTTTTGGGTGGCATGCATATTTGTGGTATGACAAGGTTAAAGCACATAAAGCATTTAAAAACCATATTGTTAGGAAAGCATTGTTAAATGTCTGGATAAGGTATAAGGACTTACTTGAAAATAAAACCCCAAGGTGGTTGTCACCAATGGAAGCAAAGGCTCAGAAAAGGCTCAATATGGAGGCCAAATGGCCGAAATATTGGGAAATTTTGGAACAAGAAGGAGACAAACTGAAATTGCAGAGTTTTGAGAAATTAAAAGATAAAGTGCGAGACTGGCTTCATTATTATCAGATAATGGAGGCATATAATTTGGATAAGAAAATTGGCTTCCAGGTGGAAAAATCAAAACTAGAAACAGAACTGTTAGAACCCAAAACTAAGATTTTGTCAAAGATGTATAACTTGCTGTTGAAATGGAATACTCAGGATGAAACGGTGAAATCTGCTATGATTAAATGGGCACAAGATGTTGGACATAATATTATGTTTGCTGACTGGGAACAGTTGTGGACTACAGGTATGAAATTTACGGCATGCAATGCCCTAAGAGAAAATATTATGAAAATGATATACAGGTGGTACATGACACCAGTCAAGCTTGCAAAAATCTACCATTTGCCCGATAATAAATGTTGGAAATGTAAAGAAAACGAAGGTACATTCTTTCACCTTTGGTGGACGTGCCCAAAGATTAAGGCTTTCTGGGAGATGATCTATAATGAATTGAAAAAGGTATTTAAATATACCTTTCTAAAGAAACCAGAGGCCTTTCTGTTGGGCATAGTCGGCCAATTGGTGCTAAAGAAGGATAGAACTTTCTTTATGTATGTCACAACAGCAGCAAGAATACTTATTGCAAAGTATTGGAAGACACAAGACCTACCCACTCTGGAAGAATGGCAGATGAAGGTGATGGACTATATGGAATTGGCGGAAATGACTGGCAGAATCCGAGACCAGGGAGAAGAGTCGGTGGAAGAAGATTGCAAAAAGTTCAAAGACTATTTACAGAAATATTGTAAAATTGATGAATGTTAGAATGATGTTGGATAGAAACTAAGTGGTTTTTAGCTGTAATATTATAAGGGAATATGAAAAAATGGACTATTAATAGGTAAAAATTTAATGTTACAATATCTTAAGATCGAAGACTAGGATAAACAAAGAGGGGAGGGATTTGCTAAACTAACAATTGAAGTGGAATACAGAAAAGGGAGGCGCGAGGAGGTCTGGGAAACAAGCAAATGAAAGATAAGTGATTGAAAGACTGAATTGTTTTTAACTATTTTTATTTTGTACTTTTCTTTTTTCTTTTTCTATTTGGTAATATTTTGAAAATCCTAATAAATATCTTATATATATAAAAAAAAAGAATGCCAATTTAGTAAGGAACTAAGCCATAACTCAACTGGGTTTGGCATCGATTGAGAAAAAGCAAGTTTCCCAATTAAGACAGACTCTGACCAAGGAATCATGTAAAACATTAACAGCATTGGGGGTTCAGCAGAGTAGTAGGGAGGGGCCATAGGTCAGCAGTCAAACTAATGTGTTGCATGTACACTGGTACCTCAGGTTAAGAACTTAATTCGTCCCGGAGGTCCGTTCTTAACCTGAAACTGTTCTTAACCTGAGGTACCACTTTAGCTAATGGGGCCTCCCGCTGCTGCCGTGCCGCCATCGCATGATTTCTGTTCTCATCCTGAAGCAAAGTTCTTAAGCTGAGGTACTATTTCTGGGTTAGCAGAGTCTGTAACCTGAAGTGTCTGTAACTTGAAGCGTCTGTAACCCGAGATACCACTGTACTAAGGTGCAGGTGTGATCCTGGGCATCTCCACTTAAAAGCATCTGAGACACCATGCTTTCTGGAGCTCTTGGGGAGCTGGTGCCAGTCAGTACTCGGCTACATGGACCAATGGTCCAACTCAGGCCAAGGACAGTGCATTTAAAAAAATAATGCCTTATAATCATATTTAATTAATTTATTTTTATTTCTAATACTTTTCTGCTACCTTTCAGAGTAAGTCCTCCCAATGTGACTGATGAAATAAAATACAACTAAAATAATTTTCTAAACTATCATCTGTATAAAAAAGTGAGAAATATAGCTACATCAACACCAGTATCCTCACTGCAAGATAAGGCAAGAAGCATAGACCCGCTGCTCACAGACTCCTACTTTGGCACGTACCTTCAGAGAGAGTGTCTTTTGCAAGACATCAAAGAGAAACTGGGCTTGAAGGATGGCAGATGTTTCAGCAGGGTGTGATGAGAGTGCAATGAAGCCATGGTTCTGGTTTCGTGGCAATAGGTGCTGCTCAAAGATCTGAGTGAGAATCTGCAGTGTGGAGGTGAATAAGGTCAAGGTGCTAGTACCATCCAGAATCAAGTCTCCTGAAGAAAAAGAATAATTAGCATTAATAAATCCATAATAAATCCATATGTACTCCCTACCACCACAAACCACACAAAGAAAGGTTCATAAGAACATAAGAGCCCTGCTGAATCAGACCAAAGGCCGATGTAATCCAGAGTCCTATTTTCTATAGTGGTCAATGAGACACCTACAGGAAGACTACAATGACTGGAATTTAGAGGTCTGCCTGTATGTGGCAGCAAATTCTGTAGTTTAACCATGTGAAGCAATACCTTGTTGATGCAGCCCTGAGTCTTCCACTGTTCAGTTTACCTGGATGACCCCGAGTTCCAGTATTACAAGAGAGGCAAATGTCTCTGTCTACACCAAGCATAATTTTGTACATCTCTATTGTGTCCTCCCCAACTTGCCTTTTTTTTCCAAACTAAAAAGCCCCAAATGTTATAACCTTTCCTCATAGGCAATTTGCTCCAGCCCCCTTATTGTACGTCTGCCACCATAACTCCACAGTCTTGTTACACCTACTGAATGTGAATGAAGTACTACACGTTACAGTATAGTTATTTCTGATGCAGCAGTCTTAGTTCTGTGCTCATCGCATAATCTTTAAGTACTGGACATTCTTGACTTTCCTGAACCATCACTACCTCTCACACAGACAGAAAATTCCGGTTCAGTGGAACAATATGAAGGGCTTCCTAGACTACTCTCCTAGGCTACTCCACCCACACCCCAATGACTTGCAAATTTCCAAATACAGTTTACAATAAAAAGGAAGGACATCAATAAAGAGTTGGTTCCTAGATTGGAATTACAACCGTCTTCCTTTACTTGGACAAGAGTCTTAGGACAGGCTGGAACCCTGCCCTACTAGAGTAATAACCTTATAACCAACCACAAGAATGGAAGCATGATTTCTCTGAAGAACTTCCCTCAGTGAATACAGGTTGAAGAACATCCAGCATTTATCCAAATAAAAGTGGCAACATCAATCACCATTTTGCATGTTACATTTTCACTGCATACGCATGCTGTGTTTTATGCACACATGTTTAAGATATTAACATGGTGCTTTACTGCGTATGTTAAAGATATTAGCACATGCCAATGAATGCCCCCCATTTAACCTGATATATGCAACAGGAAGTTGGATTAGCTGCATTACCCACTATAAGCATGCGCTGTGGGTAAATTGATGCAGACAAACAAGATGTGAAATGGCTCTAAGGCATTACTGAATAATTTCTGTTAATAAAACTGTGGCATATTGTTTTTTACTCCTTAAAAAAGATAATGTCTACTGCAGTTCATTCCATGTAGTTCCTATATTCAGTCATTACCACCAACTCTGGCCCCAAAGCCAAAGTCACACCTACACCATAAATTTAAACCATATGGCTTTCTCCAAAGAATCCTGGGAACCATAGCTGGAAATTCTAGCCCTGTGAGGTGTAAACTACAGTTCCAAGGATTCTTTGCAGGAAAGTCATGTGCTTTATGGTGTAGATGTGACCCCAATGTATGGCCATTATATTACCACCTAGAACAAAGCAAAGAGCACACTTTAATGTGGAGGTGCTTCAAACCACCAGAACCTCACCAGACTCTTGCAGTAAATGGGCTAAGCTCTGGAGCATTATTTCCTTTGGTGTGCCAGGAGCCATCTGCAAACAAAAAGATGAGAATCATCACTTGGGACCCAAGAGCCCATATCACAGTTACAAGTATCTCAAAACAAGGTGCGGTAAATAACTAGCTAGTTCACCACCCAACCAGAATTCCTGCTCAAAAAAGTGTTTGAGCCCACTGGGCATAGAGATTTTTACACTAACTTCCCAGGGCTGTGATTTTTTAGAGCCACAAGTTCTTGGGCCAACCTAGTGCGGACACCAAAGACCCTTGCAAAGTCAGCAGCTACTGTGCTCGCACACAGGCACGTGACAGTGACAGGAATTACCCTTATTTCAGAAAGAGGCAGCCCTTATCTACACGACGCCGCCCCGCCTCAGACAGTCATAGGGGCCTTCTCGGAAGCCCACCGGAGAGAGGAGAGGCGGCGGGGGGGGGGGAGAGGGGAGAGATGACCTACCCCAAGCTGGTCTCCAAACCCCAGAGACTAACCTATGGGGCAGGAAAAAGCAAGCAGCGGGCACATGATACAGGGGAGCGGCTGCCTGGAAGGAAGGCAGTAACCATAGCAACACCCACGCAGCCTCTCGTACCAGACAACCCCCCCCCCACCCGCGCGCACACACACACACTCCCTTACCTGGAATGCCGACGGCCGGTTTCTTACACAGCGTCCCGACCATAGACGCAAGACAAGCTCCCGAATCTTTTACTCACTTCCGCGTTACCATAGAGTATTTAAAGACATACGAGCTAGAGCGTCCTCGGCTGGCTTAATAAACGAGCCGGTGCCGCGCCTTCAAAGCTCCGCCCTCTCTTTCTACGGCGTCGCGCTTCGCCATCTCCTTCGCTGGGTTGCAGAAAGCCCTTCCTTTTAGGGCGTGCCGTGTGGCAGATGTCATGATCTGTTAGCAAGCAGGGCTCCCGAAAGCGGGGAGTTTTTGTCTACTATCCTACGCTTCGGAGTTGAGGAAACCTGTGGCTGCAGGTATCCTTGGACTCCAGCTCCCATCAGCCTCAGCCAGCATAGGTGATGGCCAGGATGATGATGATGATAATGTATTTATACCCCGCCCATCTGGCTGGGTCCCCCCGGCCACTCTGGGTGGCTTCCAACAAAACACTAAAATACAATAACCTATTAAACATTAAAAGCTTCCCTAAACAGGGCTGCCTTTAGATGTCTTCTAAAAGTTTGGTAGTTATTTTTCTCTTTGACATCTGGTGGGAGGGTGTTCCACAGGGCGGGTGCCACTACCGAGAAGGCCCTCTGCCTGGTTCCCAGTAACTTGGCTTCTTGCAGCGAGGGAACCGCCAGAAGGCCCTTGGCGCTGGACCTCAGTGTCCAGCACCGAGGCAATGTGGCAGAACGATGGAGGTGGAGACGCTCCTTCAGGTATACTGGACCAAGGCCATTTAGGAGTGGTGGGAGTTATAACCACCAACATTTGGAGAGCTGCAAGTTCTCTTCCCCCTGCTCTACGCTTTCTGGTCACACCTGTCATTTCATACAATTTCATATTGAATCAGCCCTCCAGCTGCAGTGTCCACAGATTGAACTGGGGACCTGCTGTTGCACTTTTCCTACAGAGCCAACATAATGGTGGGAAATGATTATTTGCAGGAGTCGATGAGAGCTGGGGGATATCGTATTTACAATGTTTTGATGGTCAAGCTTGAGTCTTGAGGCTCTAGTGACTCAGGGTGGGGAAACTTTGGCTCTCCAGAAGTCGTTGGACAACAACTCCCATCATTTCTGACCATTGACTATGCTGGTTGATGAGAATATCCAGAGGGCCAGGATTCCCCATTCTTCTGTGGATCACTGTGCTTCAGGTCTTACCGTGTAATAATTTATTTGAGGCAGGGCTTGTTGGTACTCAGTACCTCCTTCTGTTTTCAGAAGGGCCTGAACCCTGGGGGTTTTGGATTAGGACAGAAATAAATGCACAGTCATGTTTCTTGGATCTTTTGCCAGTTTCCAGAGAAGTTTTACTGAAAACTTGTTCTATCTTTTGTTTCTGACAATCTGTGCGGAGTAGCCAGGATAGCTCCATTCAGTGTGCCTTTGTAGAAGTCTGGTTCTCTGTTGAGCCCTGGCATTTCTCCCTCAGCATGCTGCACATGCACACATACACCTTAAAAAAATAAAGCAAGCCATGCTGCGCACAGTATGGTCCTCCAATTGTATGGGAGTTCTTAGTATTAACCAAATGTTTGATGGGTGTTTACGGATTCCTTATTCACAGAGCCATTAGTGAATGCAGGTCAAAGGGAGGACAAGAGTTCTCAGGTTTGATACTGCTTTGCAAAGAACCCAGTTTCATATCACATCAGGACAGAGCCTTCCTATTTTTGTACTGACCACCGGCCATACTGCTTGGGGCTGATGGGAGTTGGAATCCAACAACATGGGGAAGGCCACAGGTTTTCCACACCTGCTTTAAGGTATGGAATTCAAATCTGCATGTGTGCCAGCACAATAAATGTGGGAGATAATACAAAAACATCTCATCCAGAAACTTAGCTGTGACTAAGGGCTCCTCCACACTAACTGCTCAGACCCATGTTTTTTAGGCACAGCACAAGCAGAAGTGTGGATGAGCCCTTAGCTATGTTTTTTGATAAAATCCTTCCATTGCTCATTTGGGAATAACTCACTGCAAAGTACAAATGTTCGGTGGAACTAAGAATTTTAGGTACTGTAGTCATCTGCAAGTCAGTTAAAATCAGTTAACCCACTGAGGTCAGACTTAACTGCCCCTACTCCATTCTAAGTACAGTATTTTGTGAATTGTTCCAATAAGTGTGTATGCATGTATGTATGTATGTATGTATGAATAAATAAATAAATAAATGACCAGCTTTGGGTGTGGGAACTCCTTCTTGGTCCATAGAGCATTCAGAATATTTAACACACAAGCAAAAATTATTAATTGAACAGATCTGCTCTCTCCTCTCTGGGAGATAAATTCTCAGTTTTCATGTCAAAGCTTTCCCTTATGAAAGAATTATAATAGGGCACCAACAGTTGCTCCTGTCATTCATGTTAACACACTTTTGAGAAAATAGTTGAAGGTCAAATAATCAGGCCTAATTTGGGTGGGAGCAGAACTACTTTTTGTGTCCTATATTATAGCGCAGGGACAAGGAATACTTTTGATGTATGGTTTATTGAGTTGACAAGATTAGCAAGCAGCTGATTGTGCATAGATTTTAAACAAACAAACAATCCCAGCATGCACCTGTGAATATATGATCCGTGTAGTGTCTCTTGATAAAAAATACACTTTTAACCTGCCTTCAGTTTCAGATGTAAAGCTGCTTTAAATTTACACACACCCACACCCACACACACAGAGAGAGAATTTCCTGTTAATATTATATTTTTGTTTCGTTCACACAACATATGTGATAAAGCATGCGAGATGACTTAAAACTGGCACAAAAATTTGCACAGGAATTATAATAGTTGAAATTTGTATAGCATTTGCAAGTATTCAAAGCACTTTGCTTGCATTGTCAGAGTTGGCCCCATCATTAAGGAGAATGAGGCAGTCTGGGTATAATGGCAGGAAATATTTTTTAATTTGTTGTTAATGTGTTATTTATTTTTCAGAGAGTGGTACTTGTGGGATTTTTTGTCTTAGACCCTATGCACCTTGACCTGGGAGGTGAGAGGCACATTTGCTGCTGTGCCTCAGGCACTACAAAGTCTTGAGTCTGCCCTAGTAAAGGTAAAGGTAAAGGGACCCCTGATCATTAGGTCCAGTCGTGGCCAACTTTGGGGTTGCAGCGCTCATCTCGCTTTACTGGCCGAGGGAGCCGACATACAGCTTCCAGGTCATATGGATAGCATGACTAAGCCGCTTCTAGCGAACCAAAGCAGCGCACGGAAACGCCGTTTACCTTCCCGCCAGAGCGGTACCTATTTATCTACTTGCACTTTGACATGCTTTCGAACTGCTAGGTTGGCAGGAGCAGGGACCGAGCAACGGGAGCTCACCCCGTTGTGGGGATTCGAACCGCCGACCTTCTGATCGGCAAGTCCTAGGCTCTGTGGTTTAACCCACAGCGCCACCTGCATCCCTGAGTCTGCCCTGCAGCACATTAACCAGCTGTAATCTCACAACAACCCTGTAAGGTACATCTGAGAAAGAGTGGCTTGCCTAAGTGAGTTCATAACAGTGTTGAGATTCAAAGTGGGAGCTCTTTGATGATTTATTTATTATTACTGAATGGTATTACTATGCTGCCCCATAACTGAAATTCTCTGGGCAGCGTGCATTTTTTTTAAAAAAGGTTAAGATTCATGATAAACAATTTTTAAAAATACAGCTGCAATATAAAACATGGATTAAGAATTCAGTCTTTAAAGTTTTAAAAGCCAAAACCTCAAAACTCATTAAGAAACCCCAGGAGGGCTGAGTCTCTTAGCCACTGGTATCATTCTCAATTTGGTATGTGCAACACTTTGGAATAACAATGCATCATGCAAGTTGGTATGTAGAGGTGTCATGGGGCCGATGTCCCTTTGGTTCCCCCAATAAAATATTTGAGGGAGCTGGGGCCCCCAAAGTTGAAGGGCATTGCTGTTCAAATGATGTGTGCGCTCCACGTCTTGTGATCGATTATGTTGGGCAGGGCTTACCTCTCCCCACCCCAATATTTTATTTGTTGGCACCTCTGAGAGATGGAAGATGGTGTGCAGGCATCAAGTGGTGCCTGCACCACTGCGTTGCCCAGCCATGCGGCTTTGCCCCAGTGCCATGCTCCTTGGGTGTGGAGGTGCCAGTGAGGCTGTCTTAGCAAGGGAGGGTGACTTGGCGTCCCTCCTTCCCTCCCACCATCCTGTGACTCTCCAGAATAGCCGCTCGGCTCAGCTGCTGCCTGCTTCGGCGAAAAGCAGCGAGTGACTCATAGCCTGAGCGGCTCACCACACAGAATTTTAAATAAGGGAGCCAGAGCAGCCAATGTGCAGCTCGTCTCCAAGCAGAGCCAGTAACAGCGGATGGCTGCCTGCAGGAGGAGCAGGAAGCTGCTGCTGCTGCTGCACTGAAGAGGAGGAGGCAGAGGTGGTGGAGGAGAAGAGGTGTCTCAAACAGCCACCCTACCTGAGCCACTAGCAGGGAAATGGACACATGTTGAGTGATCTCCAGCAGCAGCAGCAGGAGGGAGGGCAAGAAGAGGCCAGTCACAGCAGCGTGAATTCGGTGGACCCCTGGCTGGAGGCAGGCAGCTCTCCTTCTCATCAGCAGCGAGGTACAGTATAGCCTCTTTCCCCACCCCCACTCCTGCCTTCATCCCATCCTGGTCCAGCATCCTCATGTCCCTGACATTGCCAGGTGCAGGGCAGAGAGAGAGAGAGAGAGAGAGAGAGAGAGAGAGAGAGAGAGAGAGAGTCTTCCACAGGGAGCAAAGCTGTGGATCTCATAGCAGGACCCTTTTAGATGGGTTTGCCTTTGCCTCTCTTGTGCTTGGCACACAGGTTTGGGGCTTTCTTTCTCCGGAGTGTCAAGTCCTGGCTGCAAAAAAATTAAATAAAAGGAAATAAAAGGGTGTGAGGGCCCCCTAAGCATCTGCCAGGGCAGCAGAGGAGACTGCAAGGTATGTGCATGCTTTGTGAGTTGTTCAGAGAGCAGAAGAAGGAAAAAGGGGAGGGGGGGCATTTCAGAACAGGCCGTGTATGTGTCTGCATTCTCACCGCCCAGCATGCCCACATTTGGGCATGCCCACAAAAGATGCCAGTGATGTGTCCTGCTTGGGAAATCTGGAGCCTGCTGAACATGACAAGTGACAATGCAAACCCCCTCCCCCAGTGCAAAATCTAGTGCAATAAATCAGAAATCCTTTGATATGAGAGAGAGAGAGAGAGAGAGAGAGAGAGAGAGAGAGAGAGAGTAGTAATATGAGCTGAGACTCAGCTCTAGGGAACAGGTCTCAGTTTGGGAAAATTTGAAGCAATGCAGATGAGAATGCCTCTGAGCATGTGTAGAGTACTTTTCCTCACCAAACTCTGTGCTTGTGGGATCAGTGGCCAGGGCTTCCAGGTCAGAGGGTGTGGCTGTCAGGTGCAAGCTCCAGCACTGCTCACACACAGAAATTAACCACCACTGCGATCCCCCCAAAATATGCATATGCCACTGTACTCCTGGCACAGACACTCTCATTTGTGTGTGTGTGTGCTTTTGTATATGTCGTGCCTTCAGTTCAGTCCCATCTACTGCACATTATTATCTCAGTGTGTACTCCATGTCTCCAGTTTCTCATCATATTCAAGGGTCCCTTCCTCCTCAGGCAGGGGTTTGAACTTTGGGCATGTGCTAAGTGAGATTTTGAGCCCTTATCTCCTGCTCTGTTGCACAGGACACTGCATCTTGTCCCTCTCTTGGTCTTCCTTTGGCGCCAACAGCCTATCATTTGGGAGTGACGTGCGTCTCTCTAATCAAATCTGTCCTTTTCTTCCTCCTCTTGCTTCTCTTGTTTATTGCCATGGGTCTAACAAGCTTCAGGTATGAGCCGTGCCCTGACCACGCTCACCGGTGTATAAATACATGGCCTCAAAGCCCCCATAGTCTGAATGTAAAAGTGGGGACAGCTAGGCAGATAGACAAGGGAGTCCAAGTAAAATGATACTGGCTTGTATGAGAGAAAGATACATTATTGGCAAGGCTATAAAAGGTCATAAGAATTAAGAGCTGCTTTAATCGTCAGCACCAGTGGCCCATCTGGCCTTATTAACAGCAGCCTTTAAAGGAAGTGTCCACAGCACATGGCTTTAATAGATTAATGTCCTTGTCAATCACTCCCAGTAAGACTTGCTGACTCTTTAACAGCTGTTTAAGCAGCAGAAATGCAGTGGGAGCAGGACTAGCGTGCAGGTACAGTGGTGGGAGGAGCTCCACTTTCTTCCAGCTTCTGGTAAAGAGAAGACAAAAGTTTCCTTGCCAACGGAGAGCATCATGCAAAAATCTGGTTGACATCGTAGCCTCTGTCACTGTTTTCCTTCCTCCCCCACTTCTCTCCTGCTTCCAGCTGTTCCTAGCCATGCAGCTGCCCCTTCCCTGCCTCCTCCACTCTGGGCCGCAGTCCCATGGAATGTCTGTTTTGGGCTTTCCACAGAGCCATGTCCTGCTACTGTTACTGACATCTACTTTTCTCAAGTTCCCTCCTCCGCCTTACCCTCTTGAGCACTCCCAGTCCTAGTATGTAACCAACAGAATGGAGTGGGCAAGGGCAAATGTCAAATGCAAATGATCCCATTCTTGCATTGCTGCAGTCTTGAACTGCCACCCTTTTGTCTGAGTATGGTCTCGGCGGGGGGAAACCCTTGTGAAGAGGATGTATAACACACTGACCATAATGGAAAGGGAGTGCATGCTCAGGCTCAATCCCTGGCATTTCCAGTTAAAATAATCAGGTAGCAGATAATGAGAAAGTCCTCTGCTGCGCTGCAAACCCGTGGAGAACTACTTGTCAGTCAGCATAAAAAATACTGGGCTGAATGGGACCGATGATCTGTCAAGTATAAGGCAACTTCATATGTCCATCTGTGATAACAGAAACGTATACCTAATTACACTGTGTGTGTCCCCTTTTATCCTCACAACAACCATTTGAAGCAGGTTGGGCTGAGAGAGAGGGAAAGTGATTCAGTCACCCAATGAGCTTCATGGTTGGATGGAAAGTCAAACTCAGATGTCACAGGTCATTGTTGAAAACTCAACCCCACAAATTATGTTTCTATTTTGGAGTCGGCCCACTTTGTCAGTCCCTTCTCATGGTGTTCTATACATTTTGAAAGGGGGAATTCTTTCATTTTAACATTCTAAATAAATGAGTATTGAGACTCATGACTATTGAGACTGCATGGAAAGTAATACTCTCCAACCCAGAGGTCCCCCAAGCACCCCTTATTCACGGCATCATAGACACATATGTTAATGAATGGACCAACCCAAGTTCAGTGTTAGATAAGAGAAGGAAGATGTTTCATATGCAGAAAGTCCCCAGTTCAATTCCTGGCAACTCTGGTTAAAAGCAAAGCAAAACAAAAATAAGATGGTATGCGGGTGTTATAGACAGATATACTTGGTGCTGCATTTAGCTAGAATCATCTACAATACATGCATAGGAGACCCTAATTCATTTTTAGACAATACCAGCAGCAGTCTTAACAAGCTGCTTGCTCTGGAGGCACTACATTTAAGTTTACAAAACTTCTTTTGGGACTATTCAGGAGGAAATGGTTTGTCAAGATCAGCCCAAGCCAACACAAAAGACAATGAGTTGAAAGTTACAGAGGCAAATTAAAACAAGAAATAAAGTGCATGTTTATAATTGCAATTAGCAAAAGCGGTAGATGCACTATTACAGGGCAGGATGTTGGTCATCTAAGCTGTACAATAGCTATTATTGGTCAAGGAGCAGTATTTTGACATTCAGGGATAATTAGATGTTGAAGCAACAGCAGGCTCCAGCTTAGTGATTGCAGGGGCATTCCTTGTCTCAGAAATCTATTACTGTCTTAATTATGGTTGGGTTTAGTCAAATTCTTAGCCCAACATTTACCAGAATTTCTGCAAGCCTGCACCAGGATGTTTCTGACACCCTTCTGTGATGAAATGTTTTCAAGAAAGCTGTTTGCAATGTTTTTCCAGGAGCTCTAACAATGTATGACTGAGGTTTATTTCATGTCATTATTTCCTCAATTTGTACCCTAAGAGCAATCCTATACACGTCTGCTCAGAAGTAAGTCCTATTAAGCTCAATGGGACTTACTCCCAGGTAAATGTGTATAGGATTGCAGCCTAGATCCACAAAAGCAGTTTAATGTTACCTGCAATCCTTTTGCTTAGAGACTTTTGCAATTCCTGTCCCAGAGGAGAGTTTACTTCCTCTCCCAGACAAAACAACCATTTGTATGCTTTAATGTACGGAGACATACACATATTGAAAGCTGACCAGCACCTAAAACTGAAATGGAGCTCTTTTTAAAAAACCTAGCCAGGTGGGAGGGGGGACCCTCTCATGAGTCCTATTTAAATCCAGCAAGGAAGCAATGCTATCCACAGTCTACTTAGTCCAACTATTTTGAAGGGAAGACAGAAAATCCCCAGAGGGCTATTAAGAGACCAAGTCTCTGCTCAGTGAAACCCAGTAGCTACGTAGGGCTTACGCAAACAGAGGGATTACTCAGCTATGCTTCCTTGATTAGCTATAAATTACTGCCTTTTAACCCTTGCAATCATTTTCCTTTGCTTTGCTGTTTATTATTTACAAACATCTGTTGTGTCATCTCAAGCTGTTTGCCTGTGCTCTCAAAGTCCTCTTCCTATCCCCATAAAGAGGCTTTTCCTCCACATAACCCAGTACACAGCACCCCCCCCCCATTTCTTTATGAGATTGGTGACTGGAATGGCACATGACTCTCCAGAGGAGGACGTCATTAGACTATCATTATTATTATGCCACACGCCATTCCTTTTACATCCTGACACTTAGCGGCATGCAATCTGAGCCAAGCAAGTTGTTGAGCTGTCCATAGCAATATCCAGGTCACTTTTCTGAGTGCTTATAATTAATTTAGAACTCAGTGTCTTGTGTAAGGGTGTCGCATGATTCTGAGCTCTGGCTCTTAACTTTCCATTAGTTCTTATTCATCACAAATATAGCTACACACCCTTGCCATTTTTCTGGTCCAGATGTCCATGTGTTCTATCCTTTCTCCACAGGTTATGCCACGCCTCAGACTTACTGGTTGCCTGCTAATGAAAGAGAAGGGTTGATATTTGCCCAAACATTGCATGACGGTCCATAGATCTTAAACCAAGATGGCAGATGGAAAAAATGCTCCTTTGGGAGGCATCTTCACTACAGTGCAGCAGGTGATTTTAATATATATATATATATAATTTGCTTATCAAACACTGGTAAAACACTTTTGCTGTGGAAAATGAGATTTGTGTACAAATTACTTCAGTTATTTTGACTGAAGTTCTTTGACTATGAGCCCTGCTCAGAGTCTTCTCAGTTCACACGTTATGTGGGAAATCTATACCCTAATTAGTTCACTGGTCTCAAGAGGAAAAAAGCTTAACAGATTTGCACAACCAGTGAAAACAAGTCTTACAGCACTTAAGACTAACCAAATTTATTTATTTGATTCCATTTATGAATTGCTGCCCATATATATCTCCAAGCAACTTTACCACAAAAACAAAGACTATAAAAACAACTTTAAACAATTCCGTCTCTAAAAACAAAAACAATTCCACATAAAAAAAAATTCAGATCCTATACAGATTGGGATAAATTGTGACATAAGTTTAAAGCTAGAGCTCTTTAAATTTTTAAGGTGTCACAAGATTTGCCTTTTCTGCAGCAGGCTAACATGACTACCCTTCTGAAGACACTGCAGCAGTGTATATTCTTTGAAGTTTGGTACTGTATTCAAGAAGTGATAGCTCAAAGCATTTCCCCTCTTTAATACCCAGAAATGAGTTTTAAAAGACATTGGCTTTAATCCTAGGATAAGTTAACTCAAGGAAGGTCATGGAATAAGTGTCCAGTTCCCTTACTTCTTCCTGAAGTCAACTTCACGTCACAAAAGCCTCTTCAGAGGGTGAAGGCCCATATGAATAATGTGCAATGGGGCACAGGGGGTTTCTGGGAAAGGGGAGAACTGACCAAAAGTGGGCAGGCCTCCACCTAATTTTGGGCAATTCCCCGATATGTTTTTCAGTGGGTGGGGGTATTTGCAGGGGCAATAACAAGAAACCTTAATTCCATAGCTTTTAAAAACTTAACTTCTCTTGGGATCCAAGCTCTCCTGTTTTTAATATATATTTGTGGACTGGGCTTTGCTAGTGATGTTCAAGAGAACAGAAAGCCTCTGTTTACAGATGGTTGCATAGGACCAACTTTTTCTATATGGATCAGTGATACTAATCAGCCAGTCATTTTACAATATTATATAATATATCAATATAGCACCATTTATGCATAAATTGCAAAAGAATATTTACAAAGAATGAGAGGGCAATGTGACATAGATTTGTTGCTGATATGACATAATAACCTATAGCCTTTATCAGACTAGTGAAAGCTGGAGTTATCTGATAGGAATCTAGAAGTACTGAATGTAAGATTTTGGAGGTGGAGTCGCTCATTCTGCAACTATTGTTACAAGGTTGCCCCAGGTGATCAAGTACTCACTATACCAATGGTATTCATTATATCACCTGTGGATCAAAAGATAGTTGCTATAAATTTTTGGCACATGAAGCAAATAATTGCGGATTTGAGCAACTGACTGATGTGATTTTGTGATATTATGAAATATTCATGTCTGTAAGAAATGACTGGTCCTTACTTTGTTTTCAGTCTCCATGTGAAGTCCTCTGAATAAAGCCATTTTAAAATTATTATTTTTTTACATTTGGAGTGTCTATATCACAATATGTCTGCAACTTTGATTCCCTATATGGAGGGAATCTAGTAATATATTCTCTGCCCTGCACCTTAGACCAGGCTCCTTCAAGATCCACCAGAAATGATGCTTCAAAGTAATCCTTAATGTCTAAAATGATAGGTGCAGGGCTTCAGGCCTTAAAAATCCTTTATCATACTTTCCGCTGTGTAAGTTCAGCTGTGATCACTCCATGCTGAGTGAAATGTGCTTCCTTCACAACCTTGCAGGTACTCTTTAAATGCATCAGGAAGTAGTCCTGTAGCTGAAAGCAAATTCCAGGGCTGAGCCCTGTCTCAAATTAAGCCCTTGTGCAGGGGGGCCCTGCCTTTCCAGGAGCAATGGCAACACTGTACCTACACACCTGAATGTGTATGTACAGATGCACAGTAGCACAGATATTGTAGCTTTTTTTACTGTTTATCTAGGGGTGGGTGTTGGGAGCTGTTCAGCGGTTTTACTTCCTATTCTGGTTCAGCAAGGACCTGTCACTGCTGGGCCTACTGTGTTGCCATGGTAACCGAGGAGTCCACAACAGCTTGGCACCAGCATTTCAGGCTAAATTGACAGGAATTCTTCTTCTTTTAACCAGTGTCTGCAGCTGAGGATTGGTAAGGGGTAAAACTGACAGAGCTCATAGCTGCAGGATTGAACTGTGGCCCTTGGAAAAGGCACAGGGAGGACTGAAATGGATCCAGAAAGAAAGGGGAGATACCCAGAGCTGTACAGTACAGTGGCCATAACAGATATTCCAAAGTGGAAGATTGTAATGGAGAGCATGGGATGGTGTCAGGGCCTGTGGTAAAAACTCAGGATAGAAGAAGGCAAGATGGAAGAAAAAGACTAGAGGATCAGATGGGGGGGGGGGAGGACTGGGATTACACAGGTGTGCTCTGCAGGCAACCAATAGGAAACATCAGACAACTGTGACATGGACTCGCCAACATTGGATCCCGCGATCCAAGCCTATGTCCTATATTTCCTGTTCTACCTGTCTCCTGAGGTGAATCGCCATTTATCCAATCTCTTTTTGGCTTTGCTCCTCCCGCCCCTCAAATAAACTGGATACAAGGGATCTTCTCCTTTCTGGAATGCAGGAGGGGATGAGAAAGAACTTGACAGTTAAAATATCAGATTGTGAGAGACACTGATCATAGTGGAGTGGAGAGAGAACAAGAGGAGAGAGGGTAAAGGAGGGTCTTGAACGGATGGATTTGGACACAGTCTGTTGTTCACCTTCTGGATTTCTAAAATTGTACAGTGCACACGACAGTAAACTTCACAGTCCCAATCTGGGGAAGAAGGCAGACAAGATTAGGAAGGCAAGTTCAATTTAAATGGATATCAGGGTGGACAACCCTGCCAAGCATTTTACTCTCTATTGTTTTGAGGGCTCTTGTGACCCCATCATTGTGAAATGTGAATGTGGGTACTATTGGGGAAGGAGACTGGGAACAGGGAAAAGGGGTTAGCGTTTTTCTATGCCTCTCTGTATTAAGGGACTGTTTTCAGGCACCGTGTGATTTATCAGTTCTGCGGATTGGTGTGCAGGATGGTGAGGATGCTGAGACGGCCTTTCCTGGCACGGAGGATGAGGAGGATTTGGACAAGACCTTGGCTATCGAACGGTTCGGAGACTTGATCAGCAAGTCTGTGCTAAGAGACCAGGAGAAGCTAGGTCGCAGCTACAGCGAGAGCGACTTTGAATGTACGTATGTCTTATAAACAAACTGGCCCCAGCTTATAATCAGAGCAAAGACCAAGCACAGCCTTTGGGTAGGAACCATATTTAATGGTATGGAAGGCCTGCTTACAATAGCCTATTTTGGGGTTGCCGTATTTCAAAAAGTGAAAATCTGGACACAAGTTGTTGATATTTTTAGTGGGGAAAAATCTGGATTTCCCCAGGAATTTTAACCGATTTCTGAAAATCGCCTGGATGCTATTTTCAGCAGATGAAACCTGGGTATGTTCAGGAAATTCCAGACGTATGCCAGCCCTATTTATATATCTCCTGCAGAACAAATTAAACCCTAGCTTAGCCCAGTGTGTGCAAAACATTTATGGTCTTTCCACACCATCAAGCTGGAAAGTACTAGAGTTTACCCAATCCAACTAGAACCGAAACAAATGGAAATGATATTTTAAGAAGCGAACTTTAGATTCTGCGTTTCAAAAACTTATACGTACTCAACTTTTGCAACACTGTTTGGAGAATTTGGTGAAACAGGTGTGTATATGTCAGTAGTAACATTTCAGTGGCATAACTCAACATTTTCAAACTGAAATTTGATATCTAGGGAAAAAAGAATTCACAAATACAAGTTTCAATTATTTGACTTCAAATGTTGTCATTAATTCCAAATATAGACAATATATCATATTGATCAGTTACTGTACAAATTATCCATTTGTCTCTCTGACTGGTGGCAATTGATTTTGAGTAGCTAATATCTGATTTCAAGCCAAACTGGCTATAGACAGGCAGTTTTTTCTGTTGCTGCCTAGAATTTATCAAAGAAGTTAGTTTCAGATATTCGTCCAGCTGGAGTCCCAGATATCAGGTTTCAACCAAATTATTAACTTTGTTTATTTCTGTACTGTTAGGAAAAATAGAGGGGGGCAGTGGGAGGTGACAAGAGTTTCTTTGTGCTTGCAGGTGAGGCATATTTTCCTTGTTCATCTATCCTGAGAGAGAAAGAAAGCAGCAGCAGCAGCTGTTTCTTCTTGTGTAGAGTGTACGGTGAATACACATATAATATTTTAGAGCAAGCAGGCTGACCTGGAAGCACTCTCACTGGTTTCATTCTGAATGTAACTTTCCATTCCATGGCTGACTTCTTAAGATTTTTTTTTTTTTTTTTGCAAGTTTGAGGTGGAAGTTTGTCAGTGCTGATTTGCTACTAGATACATGCAATATCATCAAGAACCCCCACCCCTAAAGTAGTTTTGTACTTAAAAATATAAGTACTGGTAATAAGGCAATCAATGAATTGATAAATGCTCATGTGGCACTTTTGAAAAATTAACAAAAAGGTGGACAGTTTTCATGAACTATAGGGGAGGAACAAGTGACAGGACAGCTAACTTTTTTTCTATCTAGATTTCCCCCCAATCTGGCTGCTGGTTGAGGTTGATGAGAAATGTAGTTCAAAACTACTGGAGGGCACCAAGTTGGGGAAAACTGTCATTTCTGTTGTGCAGCTTAGAGAAAGCCCTGAAAAATAGACAGTGAGTTCTGTTTTTATATTATTTCTGTTTTTACCCTGATTGTAATATTTAAATAATTAAGTATGAAATGAATCACTATTAGTGAACATGCTTGGATTTTAGCAAGCCACTGATTTAAAACACAAGGCCCATTGTCAACTGCTGCATGATAGCCCCCAGTACCAAGCAAAGACAGCATGTGTGGCTGGTGGTGCATGCAGGACTCTGGGGTCTAGGCACACAGCCCAAATATCTTGCTGGCAGTTACAAGCTAAAATTTGGTGCGTGAAGAATCCACTATTGTGTTAAGCAACTGCTCCCCTACCAAGAATTGATTGTGAACATAGGCCCTTGGATCCACTTCCATCTAGTTTTAGGCCTGCTTTGGGGACTAAACCAGCTTTGATTGCCTTGATGGATGACCTGTATCAGGAGAGGGACAGAGGGATTGTGACCTTGTTACTCTTACTTGTTCTCTCAGTGGCCTTTGATACCATTGACCATGGTATCCTCCTGGATTGACTGAGTGGGGTGGACATTGGAGGCACTGTACTACAGTTGTGCTGTTCCTACCTGTGTGGTTGAGTCCAAAGAGTAACACTGCGGGGTGCACTTCAAGCTCCTGACACTTGTGCTGCGGTGTTCCACAGGACACTATTTTGTCTCCAATGTTATTTAACATCTACCTGAAGCCGCTAGGAAGCTTAGGGCAAAAAAATCAACTGCAAAGGGGACTTGGAGATTTGTACATTTTGTATGAGAACTACCTTTTATTTATATAACAAAGAATTTTAGTTGATTTGACTATGGTTTTACTGTATATATCAGGGGTAGGCAACCTAAGGCCCATGGGCCACAAGCAGCCTATGGGGGTCATTTAACTGGCCCACAAGCCGCCCCCAAACCAAGCTGCTCACTTGGTGAGTCCCTGTGCGCTGCGCTAAACTGGTGCAGCACAATGCAGGGACTCACTTCCGTGGCACCGGAAATCGCATGTGCGCAGACGCAGATGCCGCAAATCGCATCTGTAGAGAGGCAGACATCAGAAATCATGGGTGCACACGCTCACGCGTACACACAATCCAGCCCATGGAGGGATCTCCGCTGGAGTGAACTGGCCCAGGTGAGGTAAACATTGCCGACCCCTGGTATATATAGTGACTGTTGATGTTTTTGGATAATGCCATGGCCTTTGGCTAGTGCAATAAAAGTTTATGAAATTTATATGAAGTTGTTGGGAGCAGTCATTAGGAGTTTTGGAGCATGTTGCCATCAGTACCCTGATGACACACAGCTCTTTCTCCATAGTATCTGAAACAGGAGAGGGCGTGCAAGCCCTGGTAGACTGGATGATGGTCAATGAAATGCGTTTGAATCCTGGGAAGTTGGAGGCTATGTGGGTGGGTGGTTCCTCCTGTGTGTGGAAGATAAGCCAGTGATTTTTACAGTACATATCATTCCTTCCTCATTTCCCACCAATTAAACATTTCTGACCAACATTTATTCTGCTTGCCCCCAAATGCTGGCTGTTGCAGTTCATGGTTTTCTGTTTCCAAAGACATGGTCTGGTTTGTTTACAAGCAAATGACAGCCCTTGCACATGCTGACATGTTTAACTGCATGTGCAGTTTTGGTGCTGATGGAGACTAATTCTATGTTACGTTGCTAAGCTGCACAGAGCATTCTTCAGCTTCATTGCTAAATTCCAAATTAAAATGATGTCAAACTCCATCAGATCTTTGACCTCAGACATGCAGGGATGCCTGGTAACATCCCCCAAACCAGAGTGCTCTGAGCTGTGAACTGAAAGCACTTCATTTCTATTTTAACACCAGTGTCCTTACCCTCCACAAACGACTATAATATGCTATATTAAGACTCAGCCGCTTCATATAAGTAGAGAGGAATGTGGTGTAGACAAACCTATTTTAGAATAAACCCTGAGCAAAGCTTTGATTGGCCTCACCCAAAAGGAATATTTATTTTAGAAGAACACAATGGTCAAATACTTGTTGTTTTTTAAATTGCCCTATGTCATAATAATTCTAGATCCAATTCCAGGATGACTTACTCTCTTGGCCTAGACAGTAAAACACAAGTCTGAGCCTATGTTTGGTAGGCAGTATCTAGTTATAGTAACAATGGTGCAGGTTAACACTAAAGCTAAAAGAATATAGCTTAGGACACACCTTTTGTATAAGCCATGGTATAATTTGGTATGATTGTCATAATCAAATCCATGTCATTCTAGGCCAATTGTATTGCAGTTCCCATGGAGACAGTGCTTGAGCTAATTTCCTTCAACATCAAAGCTATAATAAACTAGCAAATAAGTAAAGCATTGAAAGCAAAAACACAAAACACAATGAAAAAACCACAGGAATATTGATGGAATCTGATCCATCAAGTTATGATCCATCAACTTATTTGGGGGCTTTGCTTGGCAACATGTAGAAACTTATAAATGTTATGGCACTTCTTCTCCATGTATGATGATGGTAGTTTAAGATGTTTTATACATGCTGGATCCTTCATGTTGTCTTGTCACTTTTTGATGGAGGATAGTAGTCAGGAGTATAGATATGACACATAATATAATTTTTATATGATATCTGCATGTAGATTATATTGATGAAAATTACAAGTATGCATTTTCACAGAATAGTCTTTGAGAAGTTGTTGTTATTGTTTGGCTGTAAGAAGTTCAAGCTTCCTACTTGTGGCACACACCATTGTTTAGACCACATAGCCTGAGTAATAACCACTACTGATTCAGATCCAGAGACTATGGCTTATTGACGAAAGGGAGGCAAAGTGAATGCTAAAAAGGACTGGTAAAATTCAGGGTTGTTTCTTACTTACAGAGTTAGACTGATGGAAGCAAGATGGCAGCTTTGGATGGTGAACAGAGTTGTATGGTGCACTGCTGTTTTGAGGGAAACATCAATATTGTTTCTTGGATTGTTTCACTGACATCTGATGATTTCTTTGTATTTGGGGCTACTCAGCAGTGCTCATTCATGTGGATGCTTCCACTATCACAGTCATGAACTCTACTGGAATATCTTACAAGGCAGGTCTGACTTTGGACAACTAACTACATCAGGGAGAGTAGTACTCCAGAGAGTAATGCACAGGCAAAGCCACAGCTGAGCCCAGGAACAAGAACAATCAAGATTCTTCTTTCACAAAGCATCTCTACTTTATAAGCATAGCTTCACTCTGAAGGCAGCCCCCTCATCCTCATCAGACCACGTCTAAGGGGAAAACAACATATTACACATAAATGTGGGCAATGACACAATGGTGTCATTTTTTAAAAAAATGAAAAACAAGTTTTTTTAAAATGAAAAAGAGGCTGCAGATTTGATAGAACTGGTGCGGAGGAGAGGGTATTTTTTTTAACTTTTCCCCTCCTGCTGTTTTTCCCTGATTCATTTATCTTTTTCCCCATGGTGGGGTGGAAGCAGCTTGATTGGAAAATGGCTAGTGGGAAAGATTAAGCACCCCTTTCTCATCACTCCTCCAGTCAAATTTGTGGCTTCCTGGGAATGGTTTTTCATTAATAATAAAATGATTATGACTTTGTGATTTGTATTTGTGTGTAAAGTGTAATTTGCCTGGTAGAAAGTTGAGCATCCTAGACAAATAATTAAAGCCATCTCCTATTGGTTCCTTAAAAGATATTCTGGAACTCTTCTGAGCCTTGCAGCCATTTCTCATGCATTTTGCTTTGGTTTGATAGGACTACTGTGGCCACAAGCCCTACTTTACAGAGAAGAGTTCTCTATTTGAAGGGCTATCCAGTCAAACTCCAGTTTAAGGATAAAGAACTATAGGAATGGAGCGCAGGAGCCTTGAAGTTGCCCATCACCAGTTAACACCTGCTCAGTAGACTGCAAGCATGCAGTTCACCTTGCCCATGTCTTCCCACTATGGTGAAATCTATTGTACTTCTGTTTAAATGATAGTCATTCTATGCCCACCCGCAAATAATTTATCTCTACATATATATCTCTGCTCTCTTCTCTTTTGGGTGATATGTTTCCTCTTTTTTGACAATGTGTAAGTGGCTACCCTAGATGAAGCAGTGAAATCCTCACATCCAGGACTAGTTGGAGTCCCTGCCTCTTCACTGTGCTAGTAAGCTATAGTTTCTAGATTCCATTGGGCTGCTGCTGTTACTTACTCAGTGAAGTGAAATTCGTTGTTTTTGCCCCTTTATATAGCATTCATCTGTTGCTTTAGCAAAAGTCTTGCCCTAGGCTGCCACCTACAGCCATGTTGTGGTAAAGCTGATCCTGACTCAATTTTGTTCATTTTCTTAAAATAGATCCTGGTAATGCTTAATGGTTGAGATAGAGTTACAGAGTTTTGCAAAGTTAGATTGAGGGGAAATACTGAATCCAAGCAGGATGGAGTGGCTTTCTGATAATTGCAGTTTACTGATTTATGGCTGATTTCATTTTCAAATCACTTTCCATGTTAAAGACTGAGAATGGCTAATCTGTGAGGTCCACTGCTTAGAGAGGATATTATATTTGCTGGGAAGACCCACCCACCCAAAGAGAGAGAGAGAGAGAGAGAGAGAGAGAGAGGGAGAGAACTGTGGAAATGCTGTATCATGGAGGCAACAGGAACTGAGTATTGGCCTCAGGATAGATAAAATATGCAATTCTGAGATATTTTTGGGGGGCCTTTCTCTTAGAAAGCGCTGTGGTCTAAACCACTGAGCCTCTTGGGCTTGCCAATCGAAAGGTCAGCAGTTTGAATCTGTGTGACGGTGGTGAGCTCCCATTGCTCTGTCCCAGCTTCTGCCAACCTTGCAGTTCGAAAGCACACCAGTGTAAGTAGATAAATAGGTACTGCTGTGGTGGTAAACAGCGGTTTCCATGTGCTCTGGCACTCATGACGGTGTCCTGTGCACTAGTAGTGGTTTAGTCATGCTGGCCACATGACTCGGAAAGCTGTCTGTGGACAAATGCCAAGGGGGGCAGCTGTCTCCCCTAGAGCAAGTAAAACAATCAAAATATTTAACTAACTGACCAATCACATTGGTTCTGCCCTCACTAACAAAAGTCCTGCACCCCTAACAGTCCTGTCCTCCCTAACAAAAATCCTGCCAGCTCTCTTGTCCTGAAAAGTGAGATGAGCGCTGCACCCCATAGTCAGCTTTGACTGGACTTGACCATCCAGGGGTCCTTTACCTTTGCCTTTACCTCTTAGAAAGTTTAAAACCATATGAAGCAGATGCTGTAGTTTCTTTCTTACAGTGACTGAGAAAGAAACGGCTGTGTTGCTGGAGGGGGGCATTGCTCAGTGGTAAAGCACGTGCTTTGCATACACTGGGTCCCATAATCAATCCTCAGCATCTCCAGGTAGATCTGCAGAGTCACTGCCGGTCAATATAGACAGTACTGAGCTAGATGGACCAGTGGTCTGACTCAGATTCCTGAGTTCTTTGGGTGTGTTGCAGTGGGAATCCTAGCAAGGATAAGAAAAGCTTGCCAAAATAGAGTATAGGTGTTTTTTGCCTTTTCTTCCCCAATCCCTGTTTGCCATTCCCTGCAGGATGCTTTCCTGCCCTCTCTCCATGATGCAATCCCTCCCTCTGTTTCTTTCCCACAGTCCATCGCCAGACATCCCACCACATCCATCACCCTCTCTCCACCCACCTGCCTCTCCCCTACAAGAAGAGACTCCCCCACTCTGACAGAAAGAAGAAGAAAAAGAAAAAACCAAGAAAGACCTCTGTACCTCCCTCTGATGTCACCCCCACCATTCAGGAGGTGGAGGAAGAGGAAGAAGAGGAGGAAGAAGAGGAAGCAGAATCTGAAGGGGAGGAGGTTCTAGAGAAGGATGCCTCGGCAGAGTCTGACCTTGAAGCCTCTCCCAAAGGAGAGTCTCATGGCAAACCAAAAGCAGGGCTGGCAGAAGGAAGCATTGAGGTGAGAGATTTCCTGCTCACACAGCAACAAGGGCCATGGGCTTGGAGATGCATATACAAGAATTAGGTACGGTGGAAACAAGGTTGAAAGATTTCCAGTACCCTCTGTGTTACGATGAGGCAGTGCAGATATTTTGTAGTGCTGGCTGACCCGACCATTAGTCAGAGTGTGGGTGTTAACTCAGGCAGGTTTTTAGCATCATGAAAAGATAGCAAAGTGTTAGTTATTTCGTGTATTATTGTGTATTTATTTCTAGAGTGAGGTGCTTTTGACCTTTTCTGTTTCAGACGCCAAAAGAACTTGGCCAGCCTCGACTTGGGTATGTGTGTGTGCCATTTGTTGTTCTGCCATAGGCAGTAAAACTTTTGGGCCAGCCCTGATTGTATGTGATTGTGTGCATGTGCATTATCTGTTAAAGACTGGTGGAATAATCAGATACAGTGGTACCTTGGTTTAAGAACAGCTTAGTTTATGAACAACTTGGATCAAGAACGCTGCAAACCTGCAAGTAGGTGTTTTGGTTTGTGAACTTTGCCTTGGATAAGAACATGTTTCACTTCCCGTTGAGTGTGTTCTATTTGTAAATTGAGTCCCCTGCTGCTATGGGAAAGCACACCTTGGTTTAAGAACGCTTTGGTTTAAGAACAGACTTCCAGAACAGATTAAGTTCATATACCAAGGTACCACTGTAGTATGAAACAGCTGGATAGTATGAAGCATATGGGGGGGGGGGGAAATGGGTGGATGGCAGTTTTCCAAATGATAAAGGCTCACAGCCTTCCTTCTTTTTGTCAGTCTTAGCCAGGGCAATAGGAGTGGCATTTCCCAGGCTTCCTGACTGCTGTGCCAGATATGCTCTTTGCTTTGCTTCGTTACAGTTTATCATTGGGAGTGATGAGGAGAAAGAGGAGGAGGAGGAGGAGGAGAAGAAAGCCTGTGGCAGCCCATGCCCTTTGCCATTTCATGTGGCAGAGGAATGCAGTCACCTCTCTCCACTCCCTTATCTCTCTGATCTGCTGCCAGAGAAGGGACCTATTTCTTTCAAAAGGTAAGAGGGCTCAGCTCTTTACATTGTTTGGGCTTCAGATGGGATGCAGATGTTGTGGGTAGTGAAAGAAAGGTGCTGGTATGTACCCAATTCATGACCAAAATATTATTCTGAAGACCCAAACACAGGTGGGACTGGGCTTAATTTGAGTCACATGTAATCCAAGTTTAGTTCTAGAACCTATTTCCAATTTCCAAGTTCAGTCCTGGAATTTGTAAATAGCTAGGGAGTGTGGATCTTTCTTTTCATAACTGAGAAACATGTGTGATGCCATCAGTGTGCTATATGCTTCTGGGCATGCATTAGGGAGATATAAGCTCAATTCTCTGCTTTGCCTTGAAGCCCTCTGGGTGACCTTGGCCCAGTCACTATCTCAGATTGTCCTATCACTGAGGGTATGTTGTGAGGATATTATGGAATAACCCCCATGTACAGTGCCCTGAACTCTTTGAAGAACATGATACAAATGTGATTGTTAACAATAATCACAACAGGCCCTCATGCACCTGAGATTAGAGGTCAGTTTTCCCAGATAGAAGACCTGCTTTCCAAGCAAGCTTAAGCAGTGAGCAGCTTTGGTTTTTAGAAGTGCAATTCTAAAAAAGGAACATCAGAGCTACCAGCTCTGATGTAACAAGATACTCCATTAATTGGATGGAGAGGGTTCGTTTGCAGGGTTCATCCTTCCCACTAGGAAATAGCTTGTTTCTGCTGAGGCAACATTCTCCCTTGCTTCCAGGATTGTTTAGGAGAGATCAAAAGTACGTAGCCAGTCTCGTTCCCTGGCTTGTCTCCTTTTATAGGAACAACTTTTCCTATTGCAATGCCTGTGCCAACATCACACCCTCTGTTGCTGGTCTCCACAGTTTCCCTGGATATAAAGATAACAGAGTTTGGGACAAGCGCAAACTTTGGAGTCAGGTGCCAAGTGGGCAACGGGCAAGCTACGACCTGAAGGAGAGGGTGTGTATCGGCAGCATGACCGCCATGGAGAGTGCCACCTACCAGCGAATTCCCACAGATGAAGCTGAGGCTCAGATGCTGGCTTCTGCTGACCTTGATGATATGAAAAGTGAGGTTCCAATTGGGTCCCTGGTGATGGGGGTGGGGGTGATAGTGATGGTATCTGTCTGCCAAGATTCTCTCCTAGTGCAGCACTGAATGAATATGGGAGGCTTATAAATGCATAAATATTGCTATGCTGCATAGAACAATAGCCCTTTGTACTAAAAGTGGGCAAGTAGATTGCACAGTAGCTTTCACAAGAAAGACACAATGAAGGTATATGTACCTTTTGTTTATCCCTCATATATTAAGTACTTAGATGGATACCGCCTCTAAAAGAGGTTGTGTTTTTGGCTATCACTGCATGCTCATTTATATTAATGGCTATTATAATATCTTCTAGCAACGGCTTCCATAGGTTAATTATGCATTGTGTGAAGAACTGGTTCTTTGTTTGTCTTTAAGCCTACTGTTTCTCTGTATTGATCAATAACCACAAGCTTTTGTATTTGCGAAGATTTATGATCCAATCCTCCACATATTTACTCAGAAATAAGCCTCTGAGTTCAATGGGACTTAAGTAACTCTTAAGTAAATATGCATAGGATTGTAAGCAGAGAATAATTGTTCCTGTTTTCTCTGTCCACCCCAGTCATGGTTCTGCCAACCACTGTTTGTACCTCCTCTGACCACCTTTTTTATGAAGAGCTAAAAACCTAACTGGTTCCCTAGACCCCAATTGATCCCTCTACTCTCTGAGATCAGCACAAATAAGTCCTACTTGCACCTACTCTAGTGTCAAATTGTTTACCCAAGCTACTTAAAAATAATTCCTCTTGAGCTAACGTCAGAACTGCCTCCATCTTCCAGGCAGAAATAGGCACACTTTAAGCCAGGCATAGGCGACCCTGGCCCTCCAGATGTTTTGGGACTACAATTCCCATCATCCCTCACCACTGGTCCTGTAGCTAGGGATCATGGGAGTTGTAGTCCCAAAACATCTGGAGGGCCAAGGTTGCCTATGCCTGCTTTAAGCCCAGGTCCTAAGAACAAAATAGCAGCCCTGTTGAATCAGATCAAAGGCCTATGTTGTCTAGCATCCTGTTTTTCACAGGGATGAACAAGATGCCTATGGAAAACCCACAAAAGCCCTTTCCCACTGTTCTCCAGTAACTGATATTCAGAGGCATGCTGCCTTTGCTTCAGAAGGTAGTATGTGTAGCCATCAGGACTAGCAGCCTCCAATAGCCTTGCCCTCCATGAATTTGTCTAAATAATTTTTAAAGCTTGTCCAAATTGGTGGCCATTCCCCCATCTTGTGGTAGCAAATTCCATATGTGATGTGTGAATAAGTAATTCATTTTGTCTGTCTGGAATCAGTTTCCTTGGACGATCTCTAGGCAATAGCAGTCAGTGTGGTTGGGCAGTGATATTCACCTCACCTCCAAACAGCTGAGTTGATGCTGCTAAATGGGAGAGGAGGGGAGTGGGGGAGCAGTAGGAAATTCAGCACAGTGCAAACATACTGGCAGGAGTGGCAGATTAGCTCCATCAGTAGATCTGTGCTTTGCTGGACTTCCCACTGCTTCTCCCCCCTCCCCCTCTCCTTCCTGGTAAGCAGTAGGGACTCAGCTATTGGGAAGTCAGGCGAGTGCTGCCACCCTGCCATGCCTTCCACTACTGCCCCCAAGTTCAAGTATTATAGGAAAGGAAGAAAAAGTCTCTCTATTCAGGCCCTCCTGAATATGTCAAAAATATCCTAAATGTTGCTGTAAGTCATTAGATAGTCTCAGTGCATAAACACTGCCTTAAAGGTTTATTTAAAATGTGCAATGACTTTACTGAAAGGAATATAAGGTGTGCGAGTCTGGAACAGAGGTAAGAAAAAGAATGGCGCTGAAATAAAATAATGGGAACTTAGCTTATATTTTGAAATTAACTCATAGGATACCCTTACTTGTGAGGCTTAAATAAATTTATGCTGAAAATGTATGATATGAATGTAAAACCTAGTTTTTCTTTGGTGATGTATCTCATGTTAACAACATTCATATGTAACATAAACGCCACAACAAATGAGTAAATGGCAGGGAAGCAGGAGAGCAAGATTTGGTAAAGACTCTTGTCAAATTATTCAGGCATGGAGGGGTCAAACTAGAACTTGCAAGGGAAACACAGAATTCTCAAAATAACACTAATGTGGGGAGTGGGGGGGCATTTGCGGGGAGAGAATCAGCAGGCAGGATGGGAGTGTGTAGGCTTCCACCTGCTGATTCTCCCCTGGAAGTGTCCTTCCCTTGGACTGATTAATTCCCTTCCCTGGAGCTAAAAACTGGAAACTGGAAACTAGTCTAATTGGGGGGTGGGGGTAGCTACCTAGGGGCATTTTCAGAGGATAATCAACAGGCAAGGGATGGTTTGAACACTGCTTTCTTCCACCCACAGATCCTTCTCTGTGAGTGCCAAGCACTGCCATTACCTCTCCAAAGGTGAAGTTGGGTGCTTGCTTTTGACAAGTGTGGCCCAAAGCCAGGAAGGAAGCAGACTGAAATAGGTTGTGTGGGGAGATTGATGGATATGAATCATCTGAATTAAGCCAACTAGGCATCTATCTGTGACTGCTCGTAAATGAAGCAAATAGCATTTTTAGAAAAGGACTTTTTCTCAGGACCACAGCAAGGAGGAAAATGGTTAAATTTCCTCTCAGGGCTGGATGGGATAATCATTACATGTTAAATGCAAAGACACATTTAGCATCATGTGTAGTTTGGCACTTACACAGATAGTGCAGTGTGTCAGGCTCCCAACTTTATCTCTCCAAAATCAAGTATTTAGAACCCCTTGCATATTTCCTCTCCACTCTGGGAATATTTTCCCCTTCCTTCCCCCTCCTCTCCTGTCCCCATATTAAACATGGTTTTGCATTATTGTGTGCTGACACAAATCATAGTTAAATCAAACAAGGTTCCCTTATAACTCTTGCTTACAAATCCACTTCCTTTTCAGGGTTTGATTCCTGCATAATATCCTGTTCATACCAGGGTGAGGTGGGTCAATGGTCAATGGCAATAGTTCTGTAATATCTGCTGTATCCTCTTGCCAGCCCAAAACTACCAGGGCAAATAATTTCTGAGTTGTTTCTTTCAACAATACTTTAAGGAAACACCACTGTAATCACTAGGGCCAGAAAAATGCATGTTCAGTGTCTACATGGAACTTTGCCATTCATTCTTCAGCTTAGTTCACACCTACACTCCCAACACTGTATTCAGAATCCACTGGTGAGGATTCTCTAGGCCTTAGTGTCCTAGAGAAAAAGTCTTGAAATACTTAACTTCCTTTCTAGCTCTGGCCAGTGACCCACAGTCTAGATGTAGTCTTCTGTTGCCAAGGGCTCAGTTTTGATTTATGAGTTTATGCCTTAAGATGCTGTCCATCCATAATTGACTGGATGGAATTCTGAGATGATCAGGCAGGCCCTGTATCTTCCCAGGAGTTTTATTTTCCCTACTGACTTTCTTGGCTCAGAGTTATCAGCAACCTTTTGTCTTCTAAGAGATCTATGTATTTTATCTCCTGAAGGGAGTGGCCACATTAGATCCAGTTTCCTGCTCAGAGGGTCTAGTATTGTTGCAATTGCTGAAAAGTTTCAAAGGCATTAGGATTCAGTTTATGTACATGTGCATATATGGGCTGTGCTCTATGCCATGTCCCTCCCCATATGCTGGTTCTTTCTATGTGAGAGCACAGAAGAGACGTCATGGAAATGCCAGCTCTGAGCCCCAGGACACAGAAAAGCCAATAGGCTGCTTTCCAGGCTTCAGTGGGAGGAGACACCCAAAGAGTGTGGGGGGACACAACAGGCAGTGCCACAAGCCAAGGAACCTCTTCCAGCAGCACATGTATTGGATCGCCTACAGCAAACTTCCTACTGAGCTGTGGCAGCGAGCAAGGATACATATATGCTCCCTTGGACTCCAAGCAAGCAGGGGAAGTCTTTACACTTTTCACTTGCCTAGATGACGTATGCTGGCATTTCCTCTCAAATCCTGTCAGAAGAAATCTTGAATACTGGACCTAGCAGCTTCCTGTATTGTTTGCTGCCTGAAGAGCTTCAGTCAGAAAAAGGATCCACCTGCTAAGTCCTGCTCCTTGCCAATGTTGTGATTGTCACATGCCCCTCGACTCCCACCTTCTTAAGGACATAGCAATGGCTGTTCCAGACAGAGAGGATGCAGTGAAGGAGACAGGAGTAGGAGACAGCTCGGAAGTAGGAATAGCCATCTGTGTCGGTAACTCTTTTGGCTATGAGGACTTTGAGGAGTTTGCGCTCAATTTTGAAGACTATGATCTATGGGAGGCCATCCAGAACCACTTGGGCTACCCTAACTTGGACCCCACCCGTAAGTACCTGCTGAGACTTATACACGCACATATGCACATTCCCTCACACAACCTGATCTCAACTTTGCTTAGAGTCTAGTCTTGATTGGGTGACCAGGTTCAAAAGAGGTCAGGACCTTTAATAGTTGTGCAGACAATCTCATCCCTGTGTGACAATTAGCAAACAAAAAAAATTCCTTCTACAGAATTATTAAAGGTACAGGAATGTTGTCAGTCTTTGCATCTGGTCATTCTCTGTGTCTACCCCTGGGTACATACAGAGCACAGGGAAGTTATACCTTGCCCTATCCCATAAACATACTTTCAGGCATTTGTGTTATTTTGGCATGGAGTCTATCTGTACAAATCTACAAAGGATGGGAGACTGAAGACACTCAATGGCAGTGTATACTTCCTCATTCATACAGAAATAGTTGCGCTCATGATTTTGCAGTTTGGTTCTAGGTTGTAATTTGTATTTTCTAGAAATACGGCTTTTGGTTACAGTTACACAAGCATCGTGTTGTTCTTTTTTTTGAAACTATTTTCGTTGATTTTTATCCATAAAACCCAAGTAACAAAATAAACTGTCACGAGACAAGCACATAAAAACTAAACCAAACCAAATCAGGGTTGGCATGGAAAGTTACATTCACAAGAAGAAGTCATAAAGCTGTTTATCCTGATATATGAGCATAATGTTATAACATATATTATAAAGTGCAACGTATGCTGATTCTACTGAAGACACACTCACAGTGAAACATACATCTTGTAATCCTACTCATATGCACTAAAACCATATTGTGGCACAGAAAACCCTGGGTCTTAATTTATCACCCAGGAGTTTCTATTATCAGTGCTGGACAGAACCACATAGCGTACTTGCTAGAATTGAGTCAGCCCAGGCTGAGAAGCAGAGTGGGGGCTTGCAGTGTTTATTTATCCAAAGACTTTCCTTTGGGGCCCACAGCCTCCCAGGTCAATTTCCATCATGAATACATAGTGAGAGAAATAAGTGAGCAGCTCTGATCTTGGGACGTACAGGAGGAATGTTTTCTATGCTGCTCATTGGAGTTCTGGCTGATTTAGAGCATGTCTAAATCCTACAATTTAAAGCTGCTATCGGCCCTTTTGAGGGGGCGGAATATAGGCACCATACAGATACATGTACCGTATTTTTTGCACCATAACACTCACTTTTTTCCTTCTAGAAATTAAGGGGAAATGTCTGGGCGTGTTATGGAGCAAATGCCTACAGGTGGCGGGGGGGGGGATCTGCTGCAGTCGTGAGCAGAGGATCCATGGATCCCCTTCCTTCCCTCCTCCGTGGCTCGCTTTGAAACAGCAAAGTGGGAGAGGAGCCGCTTACACAGGTGTAAGCGGCTCCTGTCTGGTTGGCTGCTTTAAAGCAACCTTGCTCTCTGTCCCTCTCCTCCCCACTCAGCTCGCTAAATAGCAGCAAAGCTTTTCAGCTCTCTAAGCTGGGGAGGAGGGAGAGAAGCAGAGCCTGCTTGTTTTAAAGGAGCAAAGCGGGAGAGGAGAGGAGCCTTTTCCCCTTATGCCCCTCTTCTGCATTATTAGCAGCATCCTTCTCCACCCACCCCACGCATGCTCCTTGTCCCTTGAGTGCTTTTCCTTCTCTCCCCACTTAAAACATGGTTACAAAGCACGGATCCACATGGATCCTCAGGATTTTTGCACTGGGTTACCCCAAATTCACCATCAGATCACATAGCATGTCCATGTCTATAGCCTGCACCAAAAATATCACGCATCCACTGTTGCCTGGGACCGCAGTGGTGCAAAAACGTGGTTACAAAGCATGGATCCACATGGATCCTCAGGATTTTTGCATTGGGCTCCCCAAACTCACCATCAGATCACATGTCTGTGGCCACAGCATGAACCACAAAAATCATACATCCATTGTTTCGTTTAGAATATTTTTTTCTTGTTTTCCTCCTCTAAAAACTACGTGCGTGTTATGGTCAGGTGCGTGTTATAGAGCGAAAAATACGGTACTTTCCCCATGTGGTGCTAAGAGCAGAAGGGTTTTACATCAATAAAACAGCACTGGGGGAAGAGAGTTAAATCTCCTTTCCCCCACAACTGCTGCAATCAGAATTGCAGCTACCAAATGCCATTTAATATTTCTTTTAAGAAGGCAGGAGATCTTATTATGGACCTCCCACATCAGATCTGTTTGTTCTTGAAGCACCAAACTCGACTTCTGTCTGCACTGCTCACTCCCTCTCCAAGGGGATGTCGGGCATGGGAGGGGGCCACAGATGTATGTGACTGACATTTGAGTAGGCTAATATTATTCTCTATGTTTATAATAGTCAAACAATTGCACCTGACATGCTTTATACATTTTACACAAGTACACGAGTTATACACCTGTATTGCACATATATTTGCCCTCAGATGTTATTTCTGTCTCCAGATGAACGGTACAACTTGCCTATAGAATTATGAGCACTACATATAATATGACCCCAGAATAGCAGCTCCAAGCAGCTAGAGTGCATTAGTATTGATGAGCACTTATTGGTTTTTGTCACTTATGTAGCTGTAAATGGGATGGTGTGGTATCCAGCTGTCAACAGGCCTCAAATCAGGCGCACAGCCAGTGGGAGGAAAATCCCTCCGGCAATGTATAGATTTTGTTTATATTTAATTTACAGTGCAATTTGTATATGACTACTCAGAAGCAAGCTTCATTGAGTTCAATGGAACTTACACTGAGGTAAGCGTGCATAGAATTGCAGTGTTAGTGACCCAGATTCCCAAGGTGTCAGGCTGTAAAATGGTCCTTCCCATGAGAATGTGGAACAGGGGAATGAATCCTAGCATTGCAGAGGAGACTGAGAGAAGATATGATGACCATCTTCAAAAATCTAAAGGACTGTCACATGGAACAAGCTTGCTTTCTCCTGCTCCAGAGGCTGGGACCTAAACCAATCAATTCAAATTACCGTATTTTTTGCACCATAACACTCACTTTTTTCCTCCTAAAAAGTAAGGGGAAATGTCTGTGAGTGTTATGGAGGGAATGCCTACGGGTGGCATGCCTACGGATTTTCCTCCTCTAAAAACTACGTGCGTGTTATGGTCGGGTGCGTGTTATAGAGCGAAAAATACGGTACAAGAAAGGAGACACAACATCAGGAAGAGCTTTCTGATAGTAAGCTGTCTGACAGTGGAACAGACTCCCATGAGAGGTGGTGGACTCTTCTTCCTTGGAAGTTTTTATGCAGAGGTTGGATGACCATCTGTCATGGATGCTTTAGTTGAGATTCCTGTATTGCAGGCTGTTGGGACTACATGACCCTTGGGGTCCCTTCCAACTCTATGATTCTATGATTCTACTGCATTTCATACTCCCAAGATTTATTAAAAGTAGATGAAGAATAGAAAGAGGGCATGGATAGCTGAACTATCTTGAGAACACTTGGGCAATACTGTCCAGAAGTGCTGTATTGCTCATAATTTATGCTACCTTTCAGTAATTCCACTGCTGTTGGGGAAAAATGAGAACCCCTGAACAGTTGCCCTTCGCAGGAACCATTAACTTAATCAACCCTCTCTCTCAGAAAACAGCTGAGAGATCACACCACAGCTCCCATTTTAGGTCAGAGAAGCCCTCAACTATAGCATTTGAACTGATGGCATGAGAATGTCTGCTCTGGCGTTAGCTCCCAAGGCCTGTCTAGACATTGGCAGACACTACCTTAAACACTGCCTGCTTTTTGATGTGGAAGAACAGAAAGGCAGAAAAAAGTTGCTTTTTAACTTGTTCATAAATGATCTGGAATGAAGAGTGTGGTGACACCAAATTGTCCAGGGTGGTAAAAGCAAAAAGGAGTTGTGAGGAGCTCCAAAAGCTCCACACTGCATATGGGTAAAATAGCAAATGAGGCTTAATTTCACCAAGTGTCAAGTGATGCACATTAGGCTATTTCCCCCCACCCTAACTTCTAGGGTCTGAACTGACAGTGACTAACCAGAAAAGAGATCCCGAGGTCACGGTGCAGAGCTCAATTAAAATGGCAACCCAATGTGCAGCAGCTGGAAAAAAGGCAATTCCATGTTTGAGATCATTAGGAAAGAGATTGAAAACGAAACTACCAGTTTGTTAATGCTGTTACAATTCTCTGTGGTGCAACTGCACCTGGAGTACTGTATAGTCACCTCATCTCAAAAAAGGATGTTATAGAGCTGCAAAAAGAGCAGAAAAAGATAACCAAATGATCAAGGAGGGGGGAGCAGTGATGAAGAACTCCCTTTGGAGGAGAGGTTACATTTGAGGCTTTTTAGTTGGGGAAAAGGTAAGTAATAGGGAATATGATAGAAGTATAGTCATGGCGAGGAGAAGGTGGATGCAGAAAAGTTTTTCTCTCCATCTCAAAGTACTGCAAATGAGGCTAAATATGGGAAGGTTCTTCACATAGCTATCCTGTGGAATTCGCTGCCATCCAGTATAAAGTCAGCCACCAACGTGGGCAGGGGTTTAGGCAAATTAATGATGAGGCTATCAGTGGCTACTAGTTATGATCACTGTGTGCTGTCTTCAGTATTGGCATGCGTTTCGGTACCATTTGCTGGGCAACATGTATGGTGAGAGAGCTCATGTTGTACTTGTGGGTTTCCCATAGGCATCTGGCAGCCCCCCTGAGAGCAGGATGCTGGATTAGGTGGGCCTTTCGTCTCATCCTGCAGGGCTTTTGCATTCTTAACCTTTGATAGATTACGCCCTAGGTATTTTATTTATTTATGTGAGGGAACCACAAAGCAAAACAGTATAAAGTTTGCTCTGTAACATCTCATCATGTGAAACCAAGTTCAGCCTTGTGTATTCTAAACTATGCAGTAATATGAATGATCTTGTCACTACGTGATAATATGCAAATAGCACACATATGTATGTGAATATTTATTTCTTCTAAAATGTGGACTGTTTTCCAAAAACATGCTGATCAGAGGGGGCAAATTATAATATTCAAAAGCATGACAATCAGATGCCAAGATGTTTGCTGTGGGGACAGTCAGCCTGATACAGTGTTGGGCTAGGACTAGGACGATCCAGGTTCAAATGCCAACTCAGCTACAAAGCTCACTAGGTGACCACGGGGCAGTCACTCGCTGCCTAATCTGCCTCACAAGGTTGTGGTGAGGATAAAATGGGAGCAGGAGAATACTGTGTACTGCCAGAGCTTCTTGGAGAAGATGATGATTAAAAAAATGTAATAGATAAAATAATAAGGGGTGTGTCTGTATACCTGTGATACAATAAAATTCCCTTCCTATACTGTCACTTACAAAGCCCTGAAAACCCTTCTCCCCACTCCCTGGCAGCCACAGATAAGCACATTATGTGCCCCCACTGCCTTGGCATTGTTCCTGCAGCTCCTAGAAAACAAACAGCAACAACAAATTGTAGCTGAGCAGAGGTTTTGCCATGCTTCATGGAGTATATCACAGCAGTCATCTGTGCCTCTCTTGAGATAGAGATCTATTGCATAAGCACCTGCACCTGCTCAAGAAGAGTGTTCAGGGACAAATGTGTGGGAATAAAGCCTCTGTTTCCTGGCTGTGTTGCAAACTGCTTCACAGTCAGAATATAGAGTAAGACAAGGACAGAGAGGGGCCATTGCTCAGTGGTAGAGCATTTGTTTTGCATGCAGAAAACCCCAGGTTCAGCATCCAGCATCTCCTGTTAAAAGCATCTTGGGTAGAAGGGCTGGAGAGCTGCTGCCTTTTGGAGTAAACAGTACTGATCAAGATAGATCAATGGCCTGGCTCCTTGTGGGACATTTTCATAGCTACCTTGAGACCACAGAATCCTGAAAAGAGAGGGGCTGTGTATGCTCTACTTTAAAAAGGAAACATAACACCCCTAGTCCATGCCCAGGTTATCCAAGCTGTGTACTGAGAAAAGCTTAATTCTGTGTTTTGTATAAATTAAGCAAATTAAAATGAATAGGCTCATTTTTCATTCTGTTTCTTATAGACATGCTGGGGAAGGAAGGAGCTATGCAGAATGCTGCCTCCATGCCCCAGCCTGAGCTAGCAGAAATTTTGCTCATTCCTCTTCTGACTGCTAAGTTTTCACCTAGTATTGCTTACCCATCTCTTAGGGCTAGAAACATGGGGCTGAAAGCTGAGCTGCTCAGATTTCTGACTACGCTCCCATGGTTGTAGTCATGGCATACAGACAACCCTGGCTACAGAAGGACAAGTTGCTGTTCTCTTCATTCTTCTGCTTGCCCTTGCTCCTGCCCTGCCATTTTTCTAGGCCACCGTTTTGAAGATAATCCAGGAGTCAGAAGACATCTGGTTAAGAAACCCTCCCGGAGCCAGACTACCAGAAGCAGCAAAAAGTCTTTGACTTCACAGTCTGTCAAGAAAAAGAAGAAGAAGAAGAAGCTTGACAGGAAACCCCACGAGGTAATGGCCCTGCCTTGTAGAGACCTCACAATCTACAGGCAAAATTGGTAGCTTCAGTCAGGTGCCGGCCATGTTGCCTGTTGGTGAATTGTTCCCACAGAGGCAGTAATTATAGTCATTATACGACTGTGTGACCCAAAAGTGAGGCTGAAGCAGTGTCTACAGAGTTCATGGCAAGTAGGTAAGTATAGGTAAGTAGTCTTATCCTAATCTGTGCTCTTTGGGTCTCCCTTGATACAAGATGCCCTATTTCAAGAGGAGAAATGGCTAGCCTGGAAGGGGAAACTAAGGGCTCACCCACATTTTCTGCTTGTGCCATGCCTAGAAAGCACAGGTCCAAGTAATTTTCCCTGAGGGAAAGCAGAAGTGTGGATGAGCCCTAAATCTTTAGAGACAGTTGAGATAATATGAATCTAGACCTCCTCCAGTTATATTCTTTGTGTACTCTTGGCCCATAGGCTGTATCAGATCCACAGGATGAAGGCAGGCACATATTTCCTCTGAAGTTATCTCTATTCTCTCATAGCAGGTCTTAAGCATTCTGTCATCAGCAGGGATTTCTGGTGCTAAGAGCACCACCCCATGACAGCAATAGGTGCTAGGTAGGCTATTCTCATGAAAGAACTTGGACAGAGGAAGCAGCTGCAGTTCAGTTCCCTTTCTTTCCTCTGACAGGTATTTGTGGAGTTGAATGAATTAGTGGTGGAGAAGAACCAGGACATGCACTGGAAGGAGACAGCGCGCTGGATCAAATTTGAGGAGGATGTGGAGGAGGACACAGCACGATGGGGGAAGCCTCATGTGGCTTCACTGTCCTTTCGCAGCCTTCTGGAGCTCAGGAAGACTATTGCCCATGGTGAGTAACCAAGGTGGGGTTGGGCTTTTGTCCTGAGATGTATGTTGACAAGACCTTGATAAAAGCTATATCCTAACCTGCAAACAAAAGACACAAATCAACAAGATCTCTCATGATTCAGACTCTCTCAAGGGAAGGAGAGAGAATGGTAGACAATTGTGGGTTGTCTTCTGATTGCCAGGATATCTTTTCCATCATTCATGGCAGCCTGGTCCTGCAGCTGAATGTGCAACACTGAAGTCTTGGGCTAAGAAGGAGGCCACCAAAAAGGTTTGCTTTTTCTCACAAGAGGTTCAGATCCAATTGAAGATTTAGGGCAGGATTCAATTAAGTTGTTGTGTGCAAAGAATGAGGTCCACCCGCACAATGGGACTTCCCTCCTCCTCTTCCTGTGCACTCCCTATGCCTCCTAAATCTGCTCTGGATGGTTGAGGGAGCCCCTAGAACAGGTTTAGGATGTGGGGTGGGAAGGTGAGGGGGAAAGTCCTGTTGAGGGAATACTCCATGGGAGATTCTGGGGAGATTAAGTGATGTGTGAAATCCCATGCAGTGGGGTACAGATACATTTTTGTGAGTGAGCAACATAATGCCCTGAGTCATTGAGATACAGTACTGTTATTGCTGTCAGAAGCAAAGTGGTATGAGCTAAAATTTCCTTTGCACAGGAAAAATGATAGGAGACAACAGCCTGAGATACTTTGTGCCTGAGAAATCTCTTCAATGATCTTAAATGACCTAAACCTATTGGTCTTCCTGATCCCAGGAGCTGTTCTGTTGGACCTGGAGCAAACAACATTACCTGGCATTGCTCACTTGGTGGTAGAAACCATGATAATATCAGACCAGATCAAGGCCGAAGACAGAGCCAATGTGCTCAGGGCCCTGCTGCTCAAGCACAGGTAAGTAATGTGCTGGCATTAGAAAGACAGCAGGTTGGGCTTTGAGTGGCAGGGTCACATGTGGAAGAGCTGCTGAATGTTAAGGAAGAGTGAACAGTGGTATAAATACATAAAAGACTGCACAAAAAGACCAGGAATGGCAAGAGGGAGTTGGGTGAGAACAAGATAATTTTTCAGTGTGGAGCAGATGAGGTTCCTGAGGTCCTCTTAGGAACTAGAGATATATAAAGATGTTGGCTGTCTTGGGGCAGTGAAATGGATATCTCTAAGTGAAGTTGTGGTGGTGAAAGGAGCTCATAGCTTAAGATATATATGGGCAGGGAGACCAGGACTTTGGGTATATAAAGGTCAGGAAAATGGGGGTACGGAAGCAGGGAAATAGATGAGCAGGGATTTGTTGCTGTGGACACAACAGGAATAAATGATGTGAAAGGCATATTTTCATTTTGGTCAAGCTCTGAGCTGCAATAAACTTTAGCCAAAGAAAGCTGGCCACTGTCCTGTAGTTCCTTTAACATCCGCATTATTTCTTCAGCCACCCTAATGATGAAAAGGAGGTATTCTTTCCCCGGAACCAATCCAACTCCAGCATGAACTCTATGGTAGGAAACCACCATCACCACCACAACCATGCAGTTGACACATGCATGCCATTGATGGGAGAAGAGCGCATTGAGATGACAGAGCCCAGAATCCATGACCCTGATTATAGAGAGGTGAGTGAGCAACAGGCATGGAGAGCTGAATTGTTCTGAAAAGTACCGTATTTTTCCGTGTATAACACCCCCCATGCATTAGACGCTCCCTAGTTTTGGGGACTTAAAATTAAGAAAATGGGGGAGAGATTGCCCCCGTGTATAAGACTACCCCCCTTTTAAACTTTTTTTTAGTAAAAAAAAACCCTAGTCTTATACACAGAAAAGTACGATAAGTAGAGTGAAATCTCTGTGTGAGCTAAAGAAAACACTGAGACCTTCATTACTAACTGGGCCTTGCTAAGAAATAATGAATTCAAAGCAAGGTACAGAGATTTCAATGTTTTCCACAGCTTACTTTATTTCTGCGGGTCACAGGGAAGGAACAAGGAAAAGTAAGAGAAGTGGCATTGGTCAAGAGGTGGGGGGAAATAGAGGTGGGAGTCATTGGCCTAAAGGCTTAGGAACTCTCTGAATTTTCTTCATTTTTATTACGATGTATATATATCACTTGATTGTAAAAAACAACTTCAAAGCAAGGAAGCAAGCGAGTGAATGAATGTTATAGCAGTATGCCAAAACAATCAATTTCTAAATTTGCCTTAAATGAGCATTTAGAATCACAGAGAGCAGCAGGAAAACTATTGGACTTCAGCAACCAGAATGCAGCCTGTCTTTTTATGGTCCTTTCATTTAGAGAGCCAAGTGGCACTCCAACAGTGTGGGGAGTAAATGTTTTCATAGGCAGCCCTGGCTAATGAGAACCTTTGTTGTTGAGACAGAAAAACATGCACCTTCACAGCTCTGAGGGACATCGTCACAAATATCTCAAGCTGATGGAGAAGATTCCCGATGATGCAGAGGCTACTGTAGTGCTTGTTGGTAAGGAGTCCTGAGCCAAAATCTAGTACTGTGGCCTTGAGCAGGTCTCATCAGGAGACCTGTGGTTTTAACAACAGTAACATTCTTCCTTTTGCTGGCATTGTCTCATGGGGAGTTCAGGGGTTCGGTGCTGCTGCTACACTGGTGGAGCAGCCATCTTAGCCTATATTCTCTCAGCCCAGGTTGGGAGGGGTTCAAACCCCACCATGCGGTAGGAGAAGTAATATGGCTCCACTCACCTTTCATATGCCTGGCTGAAAACTGTCTTGGCAAAGGCAAAAAAATGTATTGGCCAGCATATTTGAAGTGTTCTGCTGCTGTGCTTGTCATGACAGCAGCATCTTTTGCATTTTGCCAGTATAATCGAGCTTCTGTCAGGTCCTATAGCCCCTCAGTTACAGCAACTCAAGTATAGGATTGCTTGTAAACCTGCTCAGAATTTCTAGGTCAGTCAGAGGTTCTTGATAGTGAAAAGACAATTCTCTAGTAGGTTCTGCTTAGCTGTGGTATGGATGGAGGGAACTCCAGAGAAGCTTCTGAATTTGGCCCTTGGCTTTGTTGAGGTGGCTTCAGAATTAGATCAAGATCACCTCATTAATGGAGATGTCATTTTTCAGTTGCAGTCTTCCCTACTTCTGCAAAAATAGGGAATGGGGCAGTAACCTCAAACTCTGCATACTCAGATGTTGCATCCTGTGTTACTCACACTGCCCACTGTTAGCAGGTTTGTAGAGAGGGCACTGCCAGCTGGTACTTGCAGCTAAGGGCTCATCCACATCTCTGTTTGCCCCACCACTTTCTCCTGGGAAAACCCACAGCTTACCTCCGAATTGGACCAAAAGGAAATCGGGTTTTCTGCAGACTGCTGTTTGTTCCAGTTCAGCCATAAAAAGCGTATTTTCCAGGGGAAAGCTGTGGGGCAAATGCAAAACCACTTACAACCATGCCTAGAAAGCACGGGACAAGGGGAAGTGTGGACATGCCCTAAGTGTGTTCATATGTGTCATTTTGCCAAGTCTCCCTAAACCTGGAGCATGCTTCCTGATCTCAGAAGCTTGTTGCTTCCACACTGATCATCATGGTCTTATGCTTCCCTTCCTGATAGGTTGTGTTCAGTTCCTTGAGCAACCAACAATGGCTTTTGTCCGTTTGAATGAGGCTGTGTTCTTGGAGTCAGTCCTGGAAGTCCCAATCCCTGTTCGCTTCATCTTTGTCTTGCTGGGGCCAAGCCAGTCCAACATGGACTACCACGAGATTGGACGTTCCATCTCCACTCTCATGTCAGACAAGGTGAGGAGGAGCTGAGTGTTGGTTCAGGCTGGAGAAGACACAAGAAGGGTAGCAGCAAAGGTGCTGAAAGATGCATTAGGAAGGGAACAGCATGAAGACGCAGTACAATGCCAAGGCAGCACAAGTCAGGAAGGGTTTGTAGACTTGTTCCATGCCTAGAAAGCACAGGTCTGAGTGGTTTTCTGCTTGTTATGCTCCTTTCCCAGGGAAAACCCACTCTTTAGTGCTGGAGCAAATGTCAATCAGGAAAACACCCGAATTGCTATTTGCTCTGATTGAGTAGTTTTCTGGAGGACAGGGAGGGCGGGGAAGCAGCAGGACAAAAGGAAGCATGGATAAGCATGGTGGGGGCAAGTTGGGAGGCAGGGGATGTTTGCTCCCCTCTGGCATCACCTTTGTCAGCCAATTGATCCAGTATTTCTGCACCACAGACTGCTCTGTGTATGAACCCTCTTCCCTTTGCCTCCAGCCATTTTCCTCCTTTGGTTGAATACTCTGCTAATGATTTATGCATGCCCACACGCCCCCTGACTTGCCAGCATGGGGGATGTGGGGAACTGTAAATATGCATGGGCTGCTCCCTTGGAAAGACTTCTGATGCACATTAAAGCATAGAAGCCAGGCAAGAGGAATGTGTTGGGTGGACATGCCCTTTCAGATGCCCCAAATAGCTCAACTGGTGCATTCCTTCACCATGCTGTCCAAACACACTCCTCTAAGTATCAAACATTTTTCTGAAGGCTCTTCCCCACTTGCTAGAAGTTGTTTTTATTTGCTTTGAAATACTCTGTCCTGAATTGGCTTCTGAAGAAGGTATGCTAGCAAACTGACCATAGCAACTTCCTTAAAAAACACACGTTATTACAATTTTTAATCTTACAGTGCATCCCACCGTTCATAGGATGGAATAGGCGCAAGTCAAACATTCAACAATATTGCACACTTGGATAAATTGTTAGTGAGAGAATAGAAGGGAAATTGTATACTTTTGTGCATAGACAACCAAGAAAAAAATACATGGTTATCCACTGAATAAAAATTTCATTAGATTTAGTGAGCTCATGCTCACAGTAACAATGCTATATATATATATATATATGGGATGCGGGTGGCTCTGTGGGTTAAACCACAGAGCCTAGGGCTTGCCGATCAGAAGGTTGGCGGTTCGAATCCCCGTGACGGGGTGAGCTCCCATTGCTCAGTCCCTGCTCCTGCCAACCTAGCAGCTCAAAAGCATGAAATACAAGTAGATAAATAGGTACAGCTCTGTCGGGAAGGTAAACGGCGTTTCTGTGCGCTACTCTTGTTCGCCAGAAGCGGCTTAGTCATGCTGGCCACATGACCCGGAAGCTGTATGCCGGCTCCCTTAGCCAGTAAAATGAGATGAGCGCCGCAACCCCAGAGTCATCCGCAACTGGACCCAACAGTCAGGGGTCCCTTTACCATATATATATATATATAGCACCCCAACAATCTCCCCCAAAAGGCAAAATAGACATAAAATAGCGATGGTGATATGCCAGGACAGGAATCAAATGAACAGGGATAGGTGGAGCATATGCTGTTGCCATGACACTGAATTAATACAGCTGTCAATCTGAACTGAGAAGAGAGTTACAGGGTTCTTTGATGACACTGAGATAATATTGGCTTTGAAAGTAGATTGATGAGCTCGTCTTGGGTCTGAGACAGCATCACCAGGCAATGTTATACTGGAGGACAGAGGATAAGTGATGGGCTGCTCTCTGCCTGACTGACCATCTTCCCTTGTTGGCTGACAGCATTTCCATGAAGCCGCTTACATGGCAGATGACCGCCAGGACCTGCTCAATGCCATCAATGAGTTCCTTGACTGTAGCATTGTCATCCCTCCATCAGAAGTGGAGGGGAAGGATTTGCTCAAGTCAATTGCCACCTTCCAGAAAGAGCTGCTGAGGAAGAGGAAAGAGCGGGACCAGAAGAAGTCCATCAAAGAAGGGAATGTTCAGGAAGCCAAAGGTCTCTTCTCTCTTTGCCTTTTGTACCTTGCCATTCTGCTTCATGGCCTGGGTAGGGTGGGTGAGGAAGGATTAGCACAGTCCATGTCTTGCCTCTGCATCAGCTCAGAAGAGACACAGCACAATTTCCTTCATGCTGAGGGAGGGGGTACTTTCTGAAAGTTGGAGTAGGCAGGGATGAGGAACCTGCATCCGCCCTGTCTAGGGATGCTGGAGGCTGGCACTGGGTGTGAAGGTATCTTGCGTCTACTTCCCTCTCCCTCTCCCTCTCCCTCTCCCTTCCCCTCACCCCCACCATGCTGTTCATGTCTTTCCAGAGATCTGTGAGGTAAAAGCTGAGGAGGAGGAAGAAGGCGAGGAGGAGGATGATCCTCTGAAGCGCACTGGCATTGTCTTTGGTGGTTTGGTGCGGGACATAAAGCGCAGGTACCCCAAGTATCTGAGTGACCTCAAAGATGCCCTGCACAGCCAGTGCCTCGCAGCTGTGCTATTCATCTACTTCGCTGCTCTCTCCCCCGCCATCACCTTTGGGGGACTGCTAGGTAATGAGTCCACCCTCCTCTTCCTTCCTCACCTCCCCTGCCCCACCCTAGTTCCTTGCTCAAGCTGGTTCCTGTTCAGCTAGGCTGCCCAAGAGATTGAGCACATTAGTTTAATTTTTGCCTGTGCTTATACTGGCTAAGTGGCTGGGATTGGTTCATCTGTGCCTGTGCCCTTGCTGGGCAAGTGGGTGGGCTCAGTTGGCTCTTGCTATGTTCAGATGGGTTTGGCTCTGTCCCATTGCACTCTTGCCTGGCTCTGGGGCTTTCCAGTCTATGCATGTTCCTTTCCTGTTCTCTATGGTAACAATAAAAGCATTTTACTACTCTTAATAGTCACTCCCCAATATTGCTAATTTGCACGCAACCCAGAGTCCTAAATTGGATGGGCAGAGGCCGTGTAGGACAGGAGAGGGTCTCAACAAATCTCTGCAGAGAAACATCAGTAAGGATAAAAATGGTCTCACGTAACCCACCAAAATGCTGGGGGCCAAGGCTTGCATGTGGACATTGTGCTCATATCCTTGAAAGCAAAAAACAGTGCACAGGCACTAGACCTTAACCATCTGGGGTAAGGAGAAAGAATTTGTTTAATGGTGAGAAGAATTGCCCCTTTGTTATTAAACAGATTGGGGGTATTTTAAGCCCAATTACCCACAATCCATTCTTCTGTACGTGTTCATGGGCACCAATGTATTTATTACTTCTTAAGCACTTGATGCAACAATATTGCTAAAGCAAAGTAGGTCTGATTTTGATCAGTTCCTGGATGGGGGACTCTGCTTGCGAATCCTATGTATGCTGCCTTAAGTTCCATTATGGAAGAAAGGTGGGATATAAATGTAAAGAAATAAATGATTTTTTAAAGATGTCATATAATATAAAAATAATAATAACTGTAACAGAGTCATATATCCACTGACTTACATTCTGCACTTTTCTCTCATATTAGAGGTAGATCCAGACATCAGTTTACCCTGCTCCAGCAGGGTGGATACCATTCTCCCTAGGACACATCTGTTAGAATTTAATATGAGGGAATTTGCTCATGTTGAGGTTCCTTGGCCTAACTGTTCCACAAAATTATCCAACAGTAGCGTATCTGTGCATAGAGGGACTCGTTGGCAGTGGCAATTGAGAGAAAAGGCTATGAGTTTTCTCCTGTGGGGAGCTCCACCCACCAGGGGGAGCTGGGCACATGTTTCTGTCTGCCACTCTGCAGTTTGTCCCAGAGACATTGCTCTTTCTCTACAGGTGAGAAGACAGACGGTCTCATGGGCGTTTCGGAGTTGATCATCTCCACCTCAGTGCTGGGCATGCTCTTTTCTCTGCTGGGTGCCCAGCCTCTCCTTGTCATTGGCTTCTCAGGGCCTCTGCTGGTCTTTGAAGAAGCTTTTTACAAGGTATCTGTAAACTGGTGTCTTCCTTGGTTCTACATTGCCACTTTCACATGCAGATGTCCCACATACTGCAAGCTGCTGTGCACTGCTTATGAAGTGCCCATATAGGACACTATAAGGCTTAAATCTGGCCTAATTCACACATTACTTGAGTGGTGAGGGTATCACCAAAATTCCAAATGGCATGGGGGCAGAACTGTGTGAGAAACTGTTTTTGTTAACTTATTTTCACCTATATGGATGGGGTTTTAACTAGCTCAGTGGAATCACCTGAAAATGAGAGGTTTGTGTTCCCATCTACATGGGAGTCGCTGTACACAAATGGATTTATTTCCTGCTTACATGCTGCTCCCACACTGCTTAGGTAATAACATAATTTAGCGACTTCAAGGCTGGAATTGACTCCATGCTGAGAGGTGACTCCTCTCAAATAATCCCCATCATCTTCTGCACCCTCTCAAATCATCACAATAATCTTCTGCAGCCTGTGAATAGGGCTATTTGGTTTATTAAACAATGTGCCTACATTATCCTTGTTGAGGAAATGCTATGCCCATACCAGAGAGCGCCACTGCACAGGGTAGGAGCATGTGCTCTCAGTTTAATGATACAGGATGCATGCATTGCTTTAACCAAGGAGGCCCAACTGCCTCCATCTGTCATGGTGGGCTGAAAGAGTAGTTATTGGCCAACACTGCTGCTATTTCTGTTGCTTTGGGCATTTCTGATCTTTGCTTGCATGGGAATTTGCCCACAGAGTGTCCCTGAGTTACCTCAAGAGGGTTTGGCAATTATGGTGGGGCAAGACTCGAGCACAAATTTCAAAAGTGTTTGGTGATGGCTATGCAGTACAGTGGATAATACTCAAATGTGCCTCAAAATAGCCTGGTAACGTTTTGGTAGTGCAAGACACTGGATGCTGATGACCATGTAACTGAACAGAGGATGAAGCCTGATGATTTCCTTTTCTTGCTGGGTTGTTTGGCACCTCCCCTCCATCAAACCAGGAGGGGTTTATAATGCCTCAACTGCAGGCTTGCATACTTCCCAGAGGAGTTGCACTAAAACTCTATTTGTGTTGCCCTCCTGGGACTGCAAACACAGTGAGCTTGTCCAATACATAACAGTCTGCAACGTTTAGCAGGCCACATGTTGTGCAGACTTGCTCTTCAAAATGAGCCAAGGTGCAAAGAATGGAAGGGAAACGTGCTCAAGCCAGTTCTCTTATTTCTGTCACCTCTGTTTCTTTTTTTGGCAGTTCTGCCAGAGCCAGGGCATTGAGTATCTGACAGGCCGGGTATGGATTGGCCTCTGGCTTATTGTCTTCATTTTCATCATTGTGGCCGCTGAGGGCAGCTTCCTGGTGCGATACATCTCCCCCTTTACCCAGGAGATCTTTGCCTTCCTTATCTCCCTCATCTTTATTTATGAAACATTCTACAAACTTTACAAGGTGAGCTTTGGATCTGGACCTGCCTGGCTGGCCTGCTGGTATCAACTCTGTGCCAGCATTATGAGACAAACTGTGGGTTATTGATGACTTCTCGCACACCACCCTTGAGTAGGAAGATGAACAACTCTTCCGTCTTTCATGGCTGTCTGTAAGTGTCCTCTTTTCTGACACTATATTCCCAGGTATTTACAGAGCACCCACTACTGAGGTTCTACCCGCCAAATCTTCCAAGAGATCTAAATGGCAGCACATTGCCTCCTGATTCCATGGCTCTTGACGCTCAGATGCAGCCAAACACTGCCCTGCTGTCCCTCATCCTCATGTTGGGAACCTTCTTCATTGCCTTCTTCATGCGCAAGTTTAAGAACAGCCGTTTCCTAGGAGGAAAGGTGAGGCTAAGGCCTAAATAGCAAGAAGTGTGGTGGCATTACCCCATACAGACATCTAGCCTTTCCATTCTACATGTTCACTGAAGCATGGTTTTCCCCCCTGTACTAAGAGCAATAATAGGTGGAGACATTGTTCTGATCCCCTTCCATTCATAGCTTTTTATGAAGAGAGCCTGGCTCTAGTCAATACCACGGAGGCCAAAGGTACAATACTTCCCCCAGGATGCTGAAGTTCAACCACAGAAATGCAGAGGCTCAGCTGCGCACTCCACAGGGTACCTTTCCTCAACAAAGCGCTCTTCAGATGTTTTGGACTCCAACTCTTACCAGCCTTGGGCTCCATGGCTAATAGTAAATGATGTTGGTAGTTCTAGCCCAAAGCATATGGAGGGCACCAAGTTGGGGAAGGTTGCTCTGGGGCATGCCCAAATGTTATCAAGATACCATTTTGAATCTGGCTGGCATCCCCATATGATTGACATATAAGGTGGCCAGGGACTGGCAGTGTAGTGGTGGAGAGAAGGGTCAGACATCTTAGCATCATCTTTAGGAACTTTATTCTACTATACCAAACCTCATCACCAAGCATTTTAAGGCAGAGTCATATTCTTTGTGCAATGGTGAGAAATTCTTCAGTGGATGAAAGGTCAGATAGGGTCTTTTGGCTCAGCACCCAGCAACATCTCCAGCACGCCCTGTGCTTACTTTCATCTCCTGTGCTTGGTCTATAGGCCCGGCGAATCATTGGAGATTTTGGAATCCCGATCTCTATCCTTGTCATGGTTCTGGTGGACTATACCATCACTGATACATATACCCAGGTAGGTACTGCCTGTTCCAACTCTTCACCACCCAGTGGGTATGAGGGACATGTGTTTTTCCAGGAGTTTGGACTTTAATCTGAGACTTCCATTGTCTATGTGGGTGCCAGCATCTGTGTCTTCTCAATCAGTGTAAATTTCACATGAAAGCAAGACTTCTAAACAGGAAACAAATCCAGTTCAGGCCATTCCTTGAGTTACATTGTTGAATGTGTCCCTGTTACCTCTAGCTGGATTGTCTGTGGAATGTATAGTCACCTAAGGACAGAATGCATGTCTGGCTGGGCTTCCGAATAGTGTCAGATGCTATATTGGCCTAGGGTGTTCAGGTTGGCTGTGGTGGCTGTGCTGAGAGAGGCATACATGCCTTTAGTGTGCATACAAGCTGTAGTTTGGAATTGTTATCTACAATTGGTAGTTTTATCATGTTAGGCTGGGATTCCTTCTAATCTGCAGTAACTTCAAAATGGGGCTGTGTTTAGGACCATCAGTCTTTGTTGAGGGCCTGAAGAGATGCAAAATCTGCCAAAAGATGCAAAATCTGCCATGTGAAAACTTCTGTGATCCCTGATCAGTGTTCTAAACTAGAAATGGAGTAAGGGAAGTGGGATACAGTGGTACCTCGGGTTACAGATGCTTCAGGTTACAGAATCCACTAACCCGGAAATAGTACCTCAGGTTAAGAACTTTGCTTCAGGATGAGAACAGAAATCATGCGGTGGCGGCACGGCAGCAGTGGGAGGCCCCATTAGCTAAAGTGGTGCCTCAGGTTAAGTACAGATTCAGGTTAAGAACGGACCTCCAGAACGAATTAAGTTCTTAACCTGAGGTAACACTGTATTACAAAGCAATGCGGATGTTCTGCATCCCAGCCACATTTCCCCTGTGTGACTGCACAACCCATCATTATATACATATAGAGAAGCAGAGCCCACTGCAGACAGTGCACAGGTGTACTACAGAAGCTTGGGAATTGAGCAAGCTCAGTGAATGCATCTGAGACCCATTAAGACATACACCCATACGCCAGTACAGGCATGTCCAATTAACATGACTTTGACATAGATGCCAAAATAGAACAGCACATTCCAAGCTTTCTGTGGCATTCCTAATGGAACTGGGACCTACTGGTGAAGGGTGGGTAATAAAGTTCTTGTTGATTATGATATCTATTCCATGCAGAAAACAAGACTGATGTCTTTTCCTCCATGTTGTCACCACAGAAGCTGAATGTTCCCTCAGTACTGTCAGTCACAACCCCCAACAAGCGTGGCTGGTTCATCCATCCCTTAGGAAGCAACCAGGTGTTTCCCATGTGGATGATGTTTGCTTCTGCCATCCCTGCACTTCTGGTCTTCATCCTTATCTTTATGGAAACCCAGATCACCACGTAAGTGCCAGGCCTCCACACTGGGGGCCAGCTCATTCTGTACCTATCACCCTGTGGAAATGCTAAGTAAAATTAAATAATTGCAGCAGCTGTAATTGGAATTGGTGTTGGGTGGGAAGAGAAGTCAGAATCGAGGGGATAGACAGAGTGACCCCTTCTGAGGGGATGTGACAGCAGGCTCCTAACTTCATTTGTCCCTGCTGTCTACATTGAACAATAAGGGACTACTGTTTCCATAGCTCCCAGGAGGTCTTTTCTATAGTGGGATGCATATTATTTGTCTTGTATGCTCCCTTTGCTGACCACATGCCTTGATTCTTCCAAGTCTCCCAATTAGAAAGAGCTGCTGCAAAAAATAACAACATTAAATTCAAAATACTGTGTGCCACTGCTCCCCTTGCTACAGCCAAAATCTGTTACGTTGGTCACTGAAACTCGGGTTTGTTCTGCTCCCCTCCCTTCCTATCTCCTTTGCAGCCTAATTGTCAGCAAGAAGGAGCGGAAGTTGATAAAGGGATCGGGCTTCCACCTTGATTTGCTGCTCATTGGTACAATGGGAGGGCTCTGTGCCCTTTTTGGGCTGCCTTGGCTCACGGCTGCCACGGTCCGCTCAGTCACCCATGTCAACGCCCTCACAGTCATGAGCAAGGCCATTGCACCTGGTGAGAAGCCAAAGATTGAGGAAGTGAAGGAGCAGCGTGTGACAGGAGTGCTCATCGCTGGCCTTGTTGGTGAGGTCCACACAGAGGAGCTTGTTCTCTGAGGTGGTTGTGTGCATCTTAGCTCATTTGAGCAACCTGAATTTGTTCTGCAGGCATTCATTCCCCTGTGGTGTAGTGACACTCTCTACTTGTGGCATACTGTGGTGGTGGTGGGGTGGGGTGGAGCTTGTGGGAACATGGCTCCATGAAACTAGTGGACACATACAGTAAAACAGTGAGCCTGCAAATCTCCTTGTTCTTTCTAACCATAGTTCTGTGTCTCTATATTAAAGCATCAGGCCTATTCAGTATATATCCAGGGGTGTACATGTGTGTCAATGTCAGACATTGTCCCATGTTCTGATCGTGAAGTATGGGTGTACCTGTGTGTAGAAAGAGAATGCAACACTGTATCCTGCTCTTCAGGCCTGTCCATCGTGATGGGGAATGTACTACGCCAGATCCCATTGGCTGTGCTGTTTGGGATTTTCCTATATATGGGTGTGACGTCACTGACTGGCATCCAGCTCTATGAGCGGCTCCTCCTTATCTTCATGCCATCCAAGCACCACCCTGATCATGTCTATGTTGTCAAGGTAGGTGCACTGGGGAGTGAGGAGTGATGAAAGGGGTGGCAAGTTCAGTGGGTGGCAAGTTGAGATGGGCCTGAAAATAAAGATGGGGAAGGACAGGGGAAAGGCATGCAGTGGCTGGCTTGACTGGCATGGGGAGGAAACCACTCACTGAGTGGTACCAGCACAGCTTTATGATAACCCTTCCATAGAAGGGAATGGAGTATTACTCTGAAGGTCAGGTACTTTGTCAAGTGCTAAAAAATAGAGCTGCCCAAAGAAGGGTGCATCATCTGGCTTGCTTACCTTTAGGTGAAGACCTGGAGAATGAACCTGTTCACATGCATCCAGCTAGCCTGCATTGTGCTGCTGTGGGTGGTGAAATCCACTGTGGCATCGCTGGCTTTCCCATTTGTCCTGATCATGACAGTCCCCCTGCGACGATTCCTGCTGCCACGTTTCTTCCATGAGAGAGAACTCAAAGCGGTAAGCAAACACCATTGCCTGATGTCTTAAACTGTTATGGGAGTCCCAGTCCTTCTTCAGCCATTGGTCCAAAGTGTATGCATCAGATTTGGTTAAATGGTCAATATCATAACTAAAAAACTTTTCATGGCATCGTGATATGTTTGAAGCTGGAGAGCAAGAGACTCTGTTGTCCCTTCTTTACTGTCCTGCAGTACTGTATTGGAGAACCACATTGTGAATTTTCCCAGAGACGACCCAAATCTGCCTGTAGACTCATTGTGCTCTGAGGTCTCTGCTCTGAAAAAGAGATGGCCTTGGACCACCTTGTATTTGAATGGCTGCTTAACTCTTTTCTTCTGTCCTTTCCTCCCACTTGCAGCTGGATTCCGAGGATGCAGAACCAAACTTTGATGAAGATGGGCAGGATGAGTACAATGAGCTTCACATGCCTGTGTGAGAAGTTGGCATGTGTCTACTGGCCCTGGTACTCCCTTGGCTTCATGGGATAAGCCTTCTTTCCTTGTGCTTTCCTGCAACAACCACCAACCTGAAGTGGCTTTGAAATGATTGTGGGCCTGGACCAACTGGCAGCTGTGTCATAGCCCTTCAAGGAAGCTCCAGGCCACAAAAGAAGCTTGGGCCAAGCAGCGCAAGAGATGCTGCCTTCTGGACAGACAAAGAATATGGGGCCAGCACCCCCCCCCCATTTCCCCCAAGCAGAGCTTGTTGGTGTTGGTGCTGTGCCATGCGTAGGCCAGAGTAGGTACCTTAGCCAGCTCTCATTAGCCTCCTCCCCTCAGAAGAGAAGTAGACTGCACTGTTTTGCTACGGGGAGAAAAGCAGCAGGCCAGCAAAGGAAAAGAGCAGCTAGGTCCTGCCAGAAATGCCAAGCCTGATAGCATTCATGCAGAGCCAACAGATTCCTGGGGTGGGAGATTTCACATGCACCAACTGGTCTCTCCATGCTGAACCATTGCCATTCAGTCCCATGACTGTGCCCATGAACATTCAACAGCCTGTGGTCCACCTGCCATTCTGCATGATGTCCTTAGCTAAGATTTCCTGCCCACAGAAGACTCTGAACCTCTTCCATTTGAGGAATGGCAGTGATGATTGCTGAAGCCAGTAAACTGCTGGGTGAGTTAGCAAGGGCCTTATGCACCCTGATTTGCTCTCAAGTATAATGCAGGTACTTGTGCAATATCCATGTGCATATGCGTCTGCTTGTGCATGGTGCTGTGCCTGTTCTCACCATCTCTCAGGACAGCCGTAAAGGTTGCCCAAAGAGTAGACAGTGATTTGTGAAGTAGATCTCCACCCCTTAGACAGGAAAAGGAAGTGCAGGTAAAACTTGCCAACATAACCTGGAGACCAGGAAACAGCTAACCTAATGATTGAATGAAGACTATGATCATCTCACGATCAGGAAATCATCACACAGATTTGACACCACTCTTGTGGCTCACTGCCCTCTTGAGGCCCAGTGGAAAACAGGAACTCCCAACATCAGTGTAGTAGGCAAGCAGCAAAAAGCCACACCAGGTACAAACACTGGCACCTTGGCCTTTGGTATTTGCCTGATCACATAACAGAACCTCTTACCTATTGTACTAGACTTTGTGCTTCAGACTACAACTCCTCCTTCAGTATTTCCAGCTTCATCTTGTTTCTTGCTGTAGCCTCTTCCTCACAGCTCCTGCTCTATTCTCCATCCTCCGCACGGCTATTGCATTTCTCACCTTGTTCTTGCCTTGTAGTGGCCCCAGCTTGAGCAAGATTCACTACCAGATCCAAGTCTCCAGGAGGCCACTCCCTAGCCTGGCCTCAGCAACTGGAATGGGGATGGCTTTGAGGAGGGCTGAAGTACTCTGCCACTGTGGCATTGAGCCATTGCACTGTATGAGCCCTCTGTAGCACTTGGGGCTTCTCGTCATTCATCCCTTGACATTTCCAAGTTGGTGGCCTCCCATTCCTGGCTCCTCCTCAGTCCCTCACAACCACTCCCCCAACACCATCATCAGCTGCCTTCTTGTACTCTTAAACCCTGCTATTTTCATATTTCAACTGCCATATAAAGAAAATTCAGATTTTTGTGATAGGACTAAATTTCACAGAGATATACATTTGTTTCAGTCACCGAATCTGATTTTTAGAAACAGAATACTGTCCTCCCTTGTACTTCATTGGTGAATGTCATGTATCTAGTCCTGGGCACTGCACAGGTGGTGTGTTCCATGCGGTTGAGCACATGCACAAACACCATCAGTGCAAGGTTTTGAAGAGCTGCTCTCCCACTGGGCCATCACATGTGACTCTACACTGTGATGTCCTGTAGCTAAATCTGTTCTGTTAGATTACGTATATGGAATAATGGGGTGTGCAAATGTGCCAGCTGTGACTCCTGCCGTAGTCAGGCATAAAACTATGTGGCTTAAGAGTTTGGCTCATGGAACTACTCCGGGCCATTGCTTGTTCCCTGTCTATAAAATGGAGGCTGTCCCTCCCCACCTACCTCAGGGGCTGCCTGCTGATGGCTGGGTAGTTATGAGGCCAAATGTTTTCCTCTACTCATTCCCAGCTGGCTGCCAGCCTGCCCCACCCATAGACAGTGACCTCCATTGTGCCCTGCATAGCCAGGATTAGGAAACTTGAACTGTTGGGGGCAAAGTCCCTGGTACTCTGCCTGTGCATTACGACTCCTCTGAATGTAATAGAAATGGATATGCACCAATAAACCCTTCACTGGAGCATTGCGCCTGGGTTCTTGTTCTGCGCACCAGAAACAGACAACGCAGGAAGGAATAGCCACTCAAGTAGGATCATAGGAACAAACTGGAGTATGGTAGGCCCTTCCTAGCATGACATGGATACATGTATTCTTAACGTAAGGCAACATGAGAGATTCCAGCAATAAGGCCATGTGGAGGCATAGCTTGCTAACTAGGTCTGTTTCTAAAAAATGCACAACCCTGAGCACACATCCCTGTTGCTGGAATCTCTCATGTTTCTGAAGCCTCAGTCCAGCATATTAACAAATTGATGTCTGGCTGACAGTGTCTCTTCAGGGTCTCACTATCAAGGCAAAAAGGTCTCACTATTGAGGCAAAAACTAACATCAAATCATCCCTCCACTTAAATTGCACATTTAAAGCTGGATTTCCCCCCTTTACATTGCATAGAGATGCATGTAACAAAGCAAAACAGGCTGCTTGTAAGGAAAGAGAGGGGAAGCACACATCTGGAACCCTGCAAGTGTGTTTGTGGAGTAACGTGAAGGCAGGAGGTCCAGCAGAAAAGAAGTGGGCAAGGGAAGGGTAAAGAGCCCCTCCTCTCCACTCCAAATCATCCTTTCTCAAAGCTGCTTTTCCCTAAGAGAAGTAGCCACCCTAGCTTTGTTAAATATGGTTGTAAAGTGCAGTTCCACTCTAAACAAGTAGTTTTTCGCAGCCTTCATGAATGCCTGCAGGAATAACATTCTGTAGGCAATTTCCCTCCAAACACCTGGGCTGTGCTAGGAATGGCCCTTCTCTGATCCCTTCTCAGAAGGAATGAATTCTGGTGAAAATCAGGGCTTTCTCAGATGCCCTTGGTGGCAGAGACTGGTCAAACAGCTCTCAGGCTATCATCAAGGGCAAATTTAATAACATACAGTTTTACCTCGGCTCCCGAACGCCTTGGGAGTCGAACATTCCGGCTCCCAAACAATCGAAAACTGGAAGTGAGTGTCCCAGTTTTCGAGCATTCTTTGGGAAGCTGAACGTCTGCCGGGGCTTCCGATTGGCTGCAGGAGCTTCCTGCAGCCAATCAGAAGCCATGCTTTGGAAGTCAAACGTTTCAGAAGTCAAATGGACTTCTGGAACAGATTCTGTTCGACTTCCGAGGTACGACTGTATTTGTTTTGAAGTTATAACACCACTTTGCATGTATATAGTGCTTTTCAAGTGATCAAAGCCTTTCCCATACATTACATTGTTATGCCTTTTAACAGCCTTGTAAGATGTCAATAGGGTGGTGCTGTGGTCTAAACCACAGAGCCTAGGGCTTGCTGATTCCCTGCGAGGGGATGAGCTCCCGTTGTTCGGTCCCAGCTCCTGCCCACCTAGCAGTTCGAAAGCACATCAAATGCAAGTAGATAAATAGGTACCGCTCCAGCGGGAAAGTAAACAGCGTTTCCATGCACTGCTCTGGTTCGCCAGAAGCAGCTTAGTCATGCTGGCCACATGATGCAGAAGCTGTCTGCGTACAAACGCCGGCTCCCTCGGCCTATAGAGCAAGATGAGCACGCAACCCCAGAGTCGTCCGCGACTGGACCTAATGGTCAGGGGTACTTTTGCCTTTACCTTAAGATGTCAATAATACCACCTCCATAGTATAGACTGGAAGCTATAGGGAAGCTGTGGCTCTCCAGAGCACTAATGAGGAACCTGTGGCCTTCTACAACTACAACTTCCACTATCCTTAACCACTGGCCACGCTGGCTGGGGTTAATGAGATTTGGAGTCCAACAACATCTGGAGAGCCAGCCACTTGTTCCCCATCCCTGGACTTGCCTGAAGCTACATACTGTTACTTGGATGGGATTTGAACCAGGGTTTTCTCTGGTCAAATTCTCAGCTACTGCGCATCAGAACTTTCATTGATTGAACAGTAATGGCAAGGTCTAATTGCAACAGAAAGGGCGGTAGCCTTCTCAGGGTAATAAAAAGTACTTCTGGCCTCCACCACACTCTTAGAGTTCAAGATGCAGCAGTAGCTGCAGGAGCACCCCAGGTCATAAACTTGAGTAGCCGGCGGTGGCTGAACTCATCAGCAACATGTGTCCCTGTTTCCCCCCATCATGCAGTCCACTGACTATCATGACTTCAAGTCATGATTGATTTCATCACCACCACAAACTGGTTCTCATTTGGAATTTGGTCAGCTTCCCCATCCAGATTCTGGTTCCTGTTTTGCTTCCCTTTACTTTATCGGAAAACTTCTTGGTGGCTGATACTCTGTCCCTGGGGAAATACTGACTTGTCACCAAGTTCCAGTTCTGCTTTAAAAACAGCTGCATGCGCCGAGCATATGGAAACCCGAACAAGTGAACAAGGAATACTCCATGTCTAGCTACTAACAGTGTGTGCACGTGTGTGTGTGTGTGTGTGTGTGTTAAAAGCAGCATCTCAGAAAAAAAAAAGGTTGGTGACCACAACTGAATGAACCACAGCTCCCCTACTACACTATAGTGGAACAAGGTCCTGTGCTGTGCAAGCAAGAGCTATCCAAACCCCTACAGAAGCTAGCAATTCTCACTTGCATCCTACCTTGCACAACTGTAGCTATTACTAGAATTGGAATTAAAGCCGCTGCTACTAGATGCTAGACTAGAGGATGGGTTTGGGAAGGGTGTTCTTTGCAGGCTATGGACATTCCAGGGACAACAACGGATCTACCTGAACAGTTTTCACTAACAAGAGAGACCTCATGCCAAATTGTTTTATTTAGCAATCAATATATATAACCTACTCCATCCCAAACTAGAACACCAACTGAAGTGTAAAAAAATAATAATGTTAAAAATCCAAACTCTCTACCACATGTTGTTGGATTCCCAACTCTGACTCCCATACCCAATGGTTAGTAATGATGGGTGTTGGAGTCTTCTGGAGGGCTGCAGATTTCCCATCCTTGCGTTACCAGCTTAAATCATGCCTCCCCAAGCTACCTCATTCAAAAAGGCTTTACAATGCTTCCAAACAACTTTGGTTTCACTGACTTTACAATAAGACAGAGTTCCATAAATGTTGTGCAACCTTTAGGTATGTTAGCCCCAAGTCATTTAGAACTTTACAGGTTAAAACTAACACCCCAGATTGTGCCCAGAGGATCACAGGAAGCCATTGTCAATGCTGGAGCAGTGGTTTAAAATGCTCCCTGTGACAGGAGATGGATCACTGTGTCTCACACTGAATGGAGCTTCTGGATAGTCATGAATGGCAGCCCAAAGTTAAATACATTGCAGCGATCAACCTAACGGAAGCTAGGCTTGATTGCACCCAGAAGCAAGTCGACCTTCATTTGAGAGGCAGGCAACCAAGCAGAAGGGAGAGTCTATGTTTCATTGGCAAGCTGAAGATCCAGGGGAACCTCTTCCCTACCCTGCAATAGCTGTGCAAGCCCCTGGAAGCGTTCCTGCAGCTGGAAGAAAGATAAAAAGACACACATTTCATCTTTCAAAAGGGACTGAATTTTTCCATCCTTTGTCTCAAGATTGCTATTCTCCCTTTTGAATCCCTGCGTTCATCGCTTTTTGGTTCCACCCGAGACCCAGTTCCATGCAGCCACAGGCCCACCACCTTCCAGCTGCAAGGGATCTAGCCCGCTCTGTTTCTGGGCTGGCAGCATACTGCCCACCTTTGGGTCCCACAGTCGGTTAACTTCCTAGCTTCTTACTGTATTTATTGGTCGCATAAGGACTGGCCTGACCTCCAACTCTAGCAGCCAGTCACCTTGCAGGATGTTCTTGCGGTATTCTTCCAGCCTCAGCTGCCTCCCCAAGGCATCCAGCTCACAGAGAACAGCCTGGCGCTGTGGGCAGGGCACACTCAAATGGTCTTTCTCCAGTTGCTGCTCAAGGGCTTTCAGTTCCCTTTCCTTAGCCACCCGGTGATGCCGCAGGTTGGAAATGCTCTGGTTTACCTCCTGAATCTCTGATTCCAAGCTCAGAGAACGTTTCTCCCGCCACAGCAGGGACATGAGTTCCCCATGGATCTTGTGCAGCTCGTTCCTTCCCTGGCTGCCACTTCTCATGCAGGTGCCCCTCTCATTGCTGCACCTGCTGCTGGTGGCTTGCGGCGGCGGCCAAACCTCCAAGCAATCATGTTGGGCTTGTGGTAGTCCAGGCTGGCAAAGGGAACTGTTGTATCCATGGTGTTCCAAGCTGCCCGCAGCCAGTCCTTTGCCTCTCTTGGTTGAGCCTAGATCTGACGGCACTGGGCAGGTGCCATGGTTGCTGGCATGGCGCTCCACCCACAGCCTGGCAAGCTGGGCAGTAGCCAAGCCCTTGTGAAAGAGGTCAGGAACCAACCTCAAGACCTTCCCAAAGGGACAGGCACTGCCAAAGCCCTGCACATCAAGCCAGCTCTGGGGGCTGAAAAACTGTGCATCAATTGTGTCCCCTTTCAGGAGCAAAGCCCATTTCCTCCTGACAGAGAACAACTGCTTGGCTGTGCGTGCAACGGATGCTGGGGCACGAAGGCCATGTCCTCGCCTGTGTCCAAAGGTCAATGCATCAAGCGAGTCATCATTAACGTACAGGTTTTCACACAATGGAAACACAACCTTGGTGTCAAATGACCCTTTCAATGAGCCCAGGTACCGCACATAGGTGACAAACCAGGAGATGTAGCTGGCAATGTCACACTTATCACAGCCAGCTGTGATCCTCACTCTATCCTGTCCATCCTGCTCTCTGGACTCAACAAGCTTTTCCAGCTGCTCGAGGCTCTGGATATCTGCAGCAGGGGACAACAGCAGCAACACATTGTAAAGGGTGTCAATGTCAAAAGCTTGCTGGCAGCTTCTTATGTGTCCCTCAAAGGACTGGATCTGATCTTGCAGAGCAGTATACAAGGCTTCCATCGATGCCATCAGCAGCCTGAGAAAGTAGAATGGGGAAAGGTTAGGTAAGTTGTGAAAAGCAACTCAGCAGGCAAAGCTTTCCCTGTCACTGCAGTTGTTAAATACACAGGATTGTGAGCAGAACAAGGCAACCCTCAAAATAAAGAGGTGTGTACACAGTGGAGTCAAACGGCAATGAAATGCAAAAAACAGCGGCCTGTGACAATTCACTATTTACAAAATCTCTTTATACCTTTGTGTAGACCCACTTAATACCAACTGAGGATAACACCTCAAGCATCTGATACGGTGGGCCCTGTATTCAGTACTTCTGTTGCTCTTGTTCTCCCCTGGAAGCTATAACCCTCATGTCAGTGATAATGCAACCAGAGTAAGTATTGAGACACAAAGGTGTCTGTGGTCCAAAGAGGTGCCATTTCCCCACCCCTCCCCCTCTGTATGAAAAGTACACCCAGTTCCCCCTTATCTCAAACTTCCTCCATGGCCCCCAACACTCTCTGCAGTTGGGAACTTACCACCTCCAGGAACAGCAGTCACCTGAAGAGAAGAACCAGGTTATGTCTCACTGCACAGAGGGACAAATAAACACCCTTTGCCATGGACACAGCATGTTGGGACATGCTTTCAGCACTGAAACAGGGGAACTCAGTCCTTACAACTTTAGCTGTAATCAGTGGGGCAAAGCTTGCAGTTGGCATAAGCCAGCCACGCTAGCAAGGGAGTACTCGTAAAAAGGGAGATTCCTGTGCCAGAACTAACAGGGTCAAAGGACCGGATGCCAAGGAAGACAATGCTCCTTTAGTATTAAAAATGAGCTTTTCCTCATCCCTGTGGAACAAGCCGAACTTGCAAAAATGTACTCCTAAGGCAGCAGTGTCACACAGAAACTTCTTTTCTTTACCTTGTGACCTTGTTGCCAAGGTCTGCTTTCCCTGGTCAGAATGGATATAAAAATAAAAAAGGCAAAGAGGCCCCGGACAGTTAAGTGCAGTCAAAGGGGACTACTGGGTGCAGCGCTCATCTCGCTTCAGGCTGAGGGAGCTGGCCTTTGTCCACAGACAGCTTTCCGGGTCATGTGGCCAGCATGACTAAACCGCTTCTGGCACAATGGGACATCGTGACAAGTACCAGAGCACATGGAAATGCCATTTACCTTCCCGCTGCAGCGGTACTTATTTAATTACTTGCACTGGTGTGCTTTCAAACTGCTAGGTTGGCAGGAGCTGGGACAGAGTAACAGGAGCTCACCCATTGAACCGCCGACCTTCCGACTGGCAAGCCCAAGAGGCTCAGAGGTTTAGATCACAGCGCCACCCACTGGGAGGGAGAATGGATGATAATATACTGTAATTGTATGGAGCTTCTCAGTCTGTAGCCCCCAAAATTGAGAAATCTGCGGGGATCGCCTATCTTCTTGGCTGAAGAAGATATCTTCAAAATCTTATGGAAATTTCCTAAACTGGAATCTTTTCTCCACAACACGCACCTGGTCCTTTTCTCATTTCACTTCCACTGACCTCCCACCTCCCTGCTGCCTTGGACCACACATCATCTTCCTTTTGCCTAGTGCTTAACAAAGAGTCACCTGGAGAGGGGTAAATGTTCAGGTTTAGAAAGCAGACATGCAAATGAATAAATGTTCCCCTGGCGGTTGGTAACATGGAAGTGATCAGATGCCTGGAGTTCTGAAAAAAAGAGGAACTTCTCTCTCTGTGTGAGAATCAACATCCTAGCACAGCAAAGGCATTGTGGAACGAGGATTTGTTACCTTCTTGGAGAAACAAGGGGGAAGGCAGGGGCCTTAGCCAGGAAGAACCACCAGAGCAGGCTCTCTGGCAAAATATGCAGAGAGTGCGCTCTTTGGGAGAGACACTGTCCAGGGACAGTGAAGGGTCTTGCGGTGATTAGTGCTTATAGCAGGGGTGGGGAAACCTTTCCAACCCAAGGGACACATTACTTCACACACAACCATCTGGTGTGGGTGTGGGTGTGTGGGTGTGTGTGGGTGTGTGTACGTGCATGTGCCAGCGGTAGGCTTGGACAAGAAGCAAACATGGGCAAAGTAAGGGATGTGACTCATCTTTCTACAGTAGGCTTTATTCCAGCTGCACAAATGTTAGAGGGCTCAACACCCCCCCCCCCGGCACAGCTCCCCATCCTGCATCCATGCAAGCAAGAGGTTTTGCCACATGCCAGCCTGGCAAAAGCATATGGGGGGGGCGGCATGGTATGGGGAGGGGTGAGCAGGGTGGCCTGGGAAAAGTTCCAAGAGCTTGAAGGTCTGCGTTAGACTCCTGGGCCTGAGTTTCTTCACCCTTACTCTTTTTAGGTGGGCCTCATAAAAGTTGTGGTAAGGATCCCTGTTTCTCTAGCATAAACACTGGATCCCTGCTTGAGAACCAGGATCCTTTTTCAGCCCTTCATTTTTATTTAAAAAAACCATTTTGCTTCTTTGGCCCATTCTTGGGTAACCTTAAGTATGGTTTCCAGAGGGGTCACTGTCTGTTGCAGCATAAACAGCAAAGAGCTTTGTGCTTACCCCACATCTTAAAGGCTGGCAAATTTATTATGCCACGTGCTTTTGCGAACCAGAGTGCACTTTGTCTGATACAGCTACAAGGCTTGCTGACTACGCATGTATTCTTCTCATATCAGGAGAAGGCAGAAAACTGATAGCAGCAAAGGTGCTCTGATATCCAGGTGTCTGCTCTTACTTCTGCAGCATGAATAGGGAGCAGCTCTCTCCAACAGCTGGCTTTAAAGGCAGAACAGGCCATGAAGATTTGCTTCATACTACGGCCCGTAACAACTTCTTGCCTTACTCTGCTACAAAACTCTATGTCAGTTACAGAATTGTATTCAGCCTGCAACCCCAATCTTAGAACTGAATCTACAGAGCTGACCTCATGGCTATAGGCTACAATCCAGCCTAATTTTGGCACCTTTATCTTTTCTCCCCCACCCCAATCCCACCCTGATTTGTGTAACATCTTTCTTGACTAAGAGTTCTGGAGACCTCAAAACTTGTCATGATTTTGTGGCCTTGGGGTCGGCCCCCCCAAAAGGAACTGTCCAGCTGTGGATTTTGGATTGTGCTTATGGACCAAAACAGCTACCTTTATATTTATGTACTTCTTGTGAATTTCCCTAGGAGGCAGCAGAGTGCCAGAGCTGGCTCTAGTAGCACAGTCTTGGGAAAAGATGCAGGCCTGGGCAAGGGGCAGGGGGAGTGTTTAGGTAACTTGCAATTACCCTACACATGCACTGAGGAATATAATGCTTATTTCACTTTGGTGGTTCTTAAGTGTCACAAGGAACCACATTATCTCTTACCTTTAGTGACCGGAAAATCCTCTTTTTAGCACAGTGCTGCCAATTTATAAAGCATGGTGCAGGGCCAGGCAATAACTAGTTAATTCCACACCATGATTTCAAGGGGAATGGGCACTTTACTATTTAGTATAAATAATGGGCACGCAGGCAGTATGATGCTTCAAAAGCAGGTTTGCCAATTGGAAGGGAGGCCTATTGATCCACCCTAGGGCTTACTGTGCTTCAGAGCTGCTGTTAGTGGGGGGAGTGGTAAACAGCAACTACAATGCAGGGAAGCCAATGAAGGAGGTGGTGGTGAGCGAGCCAGTCCCAGGTATCAAAAGGTTTGCAATATTTTCTCCCCTCACGCTTTTTTGGGGGGAGGGGGGTACTTTTACCAACTGCATTACAGTGAGATGTGCAGTAGACTCGACCTGGTGCCTTCCATGTTTTGAAATACAACCCGCATCAGACCCAACCTGTGTGGTCAATGGCCAGGATGCTATCAGTTGTTGATCAAACAATCTGGAAGGCAAAGGCTACAGTAGAGGAAGGCTCGTCCATCATTGCATCCTCCATGCCCAGAAAGGCTTGATCTGATGAATCTGTTGGACGTGCACAGAAGCCCTGGCAGTAGCTCCTTGGCATCAAAAAACCTGAACTGGTCAGTGGGCAGGGAAAGCCAATGTGATGACTTCCTGAAGTTGCTGTACAACAACTCTCATCAGTCCCACCCAGCTTGGCCAGTGGTCAAAGGTGATGACATCTTGTTGGCTTTGACTCAGGGGCACCAACCTCTCCGTGCAGATGGACACTTCCTGCTAGACAAGACTCCAGTTGCTAGAAAAAGCTGAGCAGGCTGCTGGAAGGGGAACAGCAGGCAAGCCATGAAATTAAGATGTTGCAGAAGCACAAAAGATGTCTAGCCCTGGCCAAGAAAGGAACTACAAATTACTGAAAGGGTGGCGGTGATTTCAACTGGGTGTCCTGCCTAACCTTCTGCAGTGAAAGTGTGTTCTGACAGCCCAGGATTGGAAAACATGTGGCCCTCCAGATGTTGTTGGACTCTCAACTCACTTCAGACCTGCTGTAGTCCAGGGGTGGGGAACCTGAGGCCTGTGAGATACCGCTGGACTACAACTCCCATCATTCCTGGCCATTGACCGTTGTTCAACAACATCTGGAGGGCCACAGGTTCCTCAACCCTGTGCTAGCACAAAGCCACCGCTAGTTGTAGGAAGGACAGAAATGTTTCCTAGATCAACCCAAACTACTCTGTTTATTCTGCAACTGCAACAAGAATGTGGTATCTACTCCATGCACAAACACACACACTATGCATGACCCAAACCAGCCATTACATCATCAGCTCATTTCTGCTTGCCTTTCTGAGTATGAACTTATGCAGCCAAACAACAATGCCAAGCCAGGAAGAGGTAATATCAAAGCTTCTAACTGTACCAGAGACAGACACATTTCATCCGAGCTGGCTTGAAGAGGTAGAAAATATGCCAAACTTTGGGAGATATAGTGCTTCATAAAGAATACAACTTCAGCAGTGCATTTTTTTATTATTATTATTAATTTTTTTGCCACTTGTAAACCTGGTTCCTTTCTATGCACCCTAAAACAAATATCAGCATATGGTGAAGCTGGAGAATCTTTTCCAATAGACCTTCTGCACACTGAGTTTACAGGGACACAAACAGATGTTCAGCCCTGCTAGGTAAAAGCAAGGATATTAGCTCATTAGTGAGATACAGCCATACCTTGGCTCTCAAATGCCTCGGCTCCCAAACGCTCAAAACACTGAAGTGAGTGTTCCGGTTTTTGAACGATTTTCAGAAGCCAAACGTCCAGCGCGGCTTCCAATCGGCTGCAGGACGTTGGTTTCTGAACATTTTGGAAGTAGAACGGACTTTGGGAACAGATTCCGTTCGACTTCCAAGGTACGACTGTATATTTAAAATAATATTAGGAACGAGCTGAAGTATATCACCTCATAATGAAGGGTGTGCAACTGAAGCAGGTTCTCGCCAAAGCTCATCAGCCATCACAAATGGGAACTGGAAGGCACAAAATCCCATCACCCCGTCCTACGCCCAAACCAAAGGAGCAAAGGCTTAGCATTCAACACAACCGAGGAAACCACACTTTCTTCCACACCCCTCCTCCAATAAGGGGAAATGTGCACAAGATATTTCCTTAAACAGTTTTA